AGCTGACACATGAATGGTAGTTTGCTTTTAATTAAACTGCAATTATGCTGCTAATTTAAGTCGTATGTAATAAGAGTCCTAAATAAATGGTGGGCAATCTGCAAAACAACAGTTCTGAAGTACGAAACAGACCAAGTTGTATGGAGAACACTGCACCTTGTTCACTTTGTATTCTCACGACTCCAAGAGGTTTCCTGCCCTGGCTTAAATAAACAACTTGAACTGGACATTAAATTAAGAGAGACCAGTGACTCATTTTCTGTCACTGCAGTTCAAGATAATATTAATATGAATGCTAACTGGACTCTCCAACAGAAGAGAATATATGTAGCTCAGGTTTGAATTTTGGTGCTCTCTGAGCTTGGTTGTTCGGTTGCAGACATTTCAGTACCCAACTAGGTAACTGTCATGGTTCTGAAAGAAGAATCTCTTCAAAGAACTTTGAAGCATTGTTTATCTTAAAGAATATTTTAATTGCAACATAGCTTCGGCACGTACATACAGTAACATCATCAGTGCAGGTGGGGGGGGTGTTGCTTTCTATTTTTACACAGTGGCTTCCCAGTTTGGGTGGGACTGTGGTTTTCTCCTTGGTAGTTTCATGATGAGGGTATTGTTTCCTGGACTCCCTGTTTTAAGGCTAATTAAATGGATGGAAGAATGGGTTGTCTTTCACCTTCAAAAATCTAAACTATTAAACTGCTCATAATTTATAACAGGCTAAGTCTTCAGTTAAGAAGAAATTTTGGAATGATCAGCTTATTTCAAATGTATCCAAACCTGAGGCTGCTGATAAAATAGAACACAGAAATATAAGAGGAGCGATCCAGCCTTCTGATCTTACAGTGAAAGGTTTGTTCCACTTATAAGCACCATAGCAAATTATCATATTGGATTAGGTGGAATGTCGTCATCTTGTTTTCTACAGCATCTGGCTAGAGGCCTCTGAATCCCACAACAGAAGAAAGAGCTGTTGAATTGGAGTTATAACCAAGTAATGATATTTAGAGGAGAGCTGCAGTTTTTAAGAATTTATCTCATCTCATGCATTATATTTATTATATAATTCCTACAAAAAAGAAAAGAAAAGTTAGCTATTGGGACTGTGAGAAATTGACACTTACTGATTCTTTTGTGTTCAGCATGTTTGTATAGGCACAGAACTAAAGTAGAGTGGTACTTGATTGGGACTATTATGAAAGAGAGTGGACGGTTAAGTGATTAATCTCATGAAAACCAATTTGATGTTACTTCATTTATGTATCGTATCAGCAGAAAAATTAAAAAATAACTATATAAAACTGTCATCATTAAAAACTGTAAGCACATGATCAGGGAGGATGGTGTTAACCATAATAAGAAAGCCACTACAGCAGTGTTTCTCAACCTTGACAATTTTAAGGCATGTGGACTTCAACTCCCAGAATTCCACAGCCAGCAATGCTGGCTGTGGAATTCTGGGAGTTGAAGTCCACATGCCTTAAAATTGTCAAGGTTGAGAAACGCTGCAATACAGGATCTCCCTGGGATCCCCAAGCCTGATGGCATAGCCAAGTCTTGAGAAATTTGAATAATGTTGAAAGTGATGGAGCTAGGCTCATTTCTGATGAGGAGAAGATTCCACAATGTGGATGCCACAGCAGAGAAGGCTCACCTTCTGGGATCTCCCTAGTGCAATTCCTTAATCAAAAGGATCTGCAGCATGCCTTCTCTGCCAGTTTTAGTGGGACAAGCAAATACAATCAAAAACAAGTGGTCCCTCAGATAACATGGCTCCATGCCACAAAGGGCTTTAAAAGTCAAAATCAGCACCTTGAATTGGGCCCATAAGAACACTGGCCACCCGTGCAGCATGTAGAGCAAAGGTGTAACGTGTCGTTGTAGGGACATAATAACTGCTTGGGTTTCTAGCAAGAGGAGCTGCAATAAGTCCTGTTTAGACTCACGTAAAGAGTGAATAAGATTATACAGAAAAATAAGGGCACCCAGATATTGGAGGGATTGTGACCTAAGTGCAAGTTGTTTTAATTGAGCTTGGATATAACAAATCCTAGAGACACTCTTGGCATTCTCTTGTTTGAGGTGGTCATATAACCCAATCCAGGAGTTTAACTTGAGCTACAAGGTAGAATAGAAGGTAAATTAAAAGATAGGTAAATAAATGAGATTTTACCCCAGCTGCCAAGTCTGTGGTTCCAGCTGGATCAGCCTCCAAGATAATTCTGGAATAGTCTGGGGGTAGACGTGGTCTTTTTCCCTGTTTGCTGTTATCATGAGGAATATGTATTTTTTGGGAAAAAAAGATACTGCACTGATACCATAGTGTCTCATATGATTTCTATTAAAATAATACTTTATATCTGTTGATAAACTATGGTAACTTTATGACCTGTGGATTTCATCGCCTAGAATTCTGAGAGTTGAAGTCCACAGGTTGTAAAGTTGCCGTGGTTGACCACCCCTGCTTTATGTGACTTAGCTTTGAGGTTGCTAGAGTAATTCCAACAAATTTTATGTGACTATAATATCAGTACTTATAATTTTTCCCCCAGGCAATCCTTCATTCCAATATTGGAAGGAACTGGCTGAGGAGAGGAGGAAAGCCCTGCATGAGGTTTTACAAGAAAATGAAAAGGTAATGTTCTTAGATGTGGCAGAAGACATCCTTTGGAAATCTGTCATCTAAAAATCTTTTTTTTTTCTCTAGTTGCATCAAGAAATTGAATTAAAAAATAGTGAAATTGCTCGTCTAAAAGAAGAAAACGAAGAATTGGCAGAACTAGCTGGCCATGTTCATTATATGGCAAATATGATAGAGGTAAGTTGCTCGGTTGATAAAATGTTGACTGGAGTTTATGCCTTTGGGAAATTAAAAAGTAAGTAAATGATTAATCTCTGGGATGGAAGTAACGGAGTATCCTGCTACAAGTCCATTTTGCATGGCAGATGTGATCTTTTGAATCCTGATCTCGATTTTTCAACTTTGAGGTTGAGCAGTAGCAATAGCACTTAGACTTATATACTGCTCCATACTACAGTGCTCTCTGAGCAGATTACAAGGTCAGCATATTGCCCCCAGCAAACTGGGTCCTCATTTTATCGACCTCAGAAGGATGGAAGGCTGAGTCAACCCCGAGGTCCCTCAGGTTCAAACTCCTGCTGTGAGCAGAGTTGCTGTCATACCCCAAGGATCACATGTACAGTTAGCGTGTTTATACTTTTAAATAGCTATAATTTGAAATGTAAAGTCAAGCTTACCAAGAATAGAAGTAAAATACTATACAAGGCTGCTTACTAGGAAAAGAGCAGCATTTCAGCCTGTGAATTTGCCTTGTGCAAATTTTGTATTATCACGTTGCCTTTGCAATAGTAGGTGGGTGCCATTTCACACACTAAAGAGAATGTCTGCAGGGCTTCCAAGATATACAAAATGGACCATTTCATTCTATCTTCTTTTGAGTCCTTAGGGTTGGTTTAATATTTTTTTTTTCAGGCCCTGGGTATTTGTGGAGCATAGTAGCCAACAACAGTAATAATACAGGTTCAATCACCCTTCCATTGATTGGAGTTAGTTTGGAGATGGGAGAATGTATGCACCATTTTGGATATTGTGGACAGGCAAACATTGATCGCAGGGACTCGTTGATTTATCTAGTATTTCTTGATCAAATGACCCTTTCCCCCCATCTCCCATGCCATATACTTCCTAATGACAAGTACAAGTATGTCACCATATGAAGGGAAAAAAAGCATTTGTATTCTTTGAGGTTATTTATAGAACAGCATTTTCAGAGTATTTTACTAGGTCAAAAGAAGATAAATGGATCTACTCGTTTCACATTTTTACAGAGTTTAGCTGGCTTTCAGATTCTACCAAGCGGTACATTGTATATGTACCAGCCATGTTTCAAAAAAGAGGATGTATTCTAGGGCAAAGAGAAATTGTGCACAAGATTGGCCCTTAAGCCTAGCTGACACCATAGAACTTTTCCAATTTAGTACTGAAGAGTGAGTAGCAATTATGCAAACAAACATGACTGAGTCACTGACTTGTCAGACAAGAGTGTAGTTCTAAGGCTAAATGCTACTACGCTAAAAGCAACTTAGCAGCCTCTTTGGTCTAATAGTTAAGGGTTACGAAACCAGGAGGCTATGAGTTCTACTTCACCTTCAACATGAAATATGACTTAGGGCCAGTCATTTTCTCAGCCCATCTCACGTCACCACACAGTGGTTGTTGCAGTGGAAAAATAGGAGGAGGAGGAGGAGGAGGGAGTATTAATTATGTTTGCCACCTTGAGTTATTCATTTAAAAAATGGAGAACTAATGGAATGTTCTATAGACTTGGAATATTACTGCTTAAGATAGTGCTATACAGATGAAATTTTGTCTCTTAACACCATTGTTTCACTTATCTAGCAAATCACTGGAAAAGTACCAGAAAGCCTAGATATTTTGAAAAATTTAGATCTGGAAGAAATTGCATATGAAGAAAATGATTCTGCTGAGGAAGATTTAGATGGTGAATCTGAAGAGGAACATTCACAATTTTCCATCAGTTATACAGATGATGTTGCAGATGTGCCTCTAAATTGAGAAAGTAACCTCTGAAAGTATTGGGCTCTAAAGTGGGGGTGGGGAGGCAGAGCAATCAAGAAATCCTCTGAAAACTACAGATTTATCAAAGATTTGGAGGATGGGATTGCACTACTAATGTGTTGCAGAGTGACTAACAGTCTTACCAGAAGTAATAGATTGTATGTTGTCACTTATTAATTGGAAATACTGTGTATTTCAGCTTGTAAATAAGTTTTTATTCATTTATGACATTTGTAATTACCAAATAAATTTACCCACACAATTATGATATGGTTTTCAAAATGTAACTTATTTCTTGATACATCGTAATAACCAATCTAGTTTTATCTGGCACATATCTTTATCACTGCCTAGAGACCTTCCATTATAGCTCAACTCCCAAATATTTTGAAATTAGTAATTTTTCTTCAATTCTTCCCAAACCAGATGTGCCTCTGCTTCTGCCTTTCAGGATTACTGTAATTTGCAGGTTTTCCTTGTCGCAAAAGATAGTATCTTTCAAATATAAAACGCTTTTTCTAATGACTTTATTAAATCCACAGCTTAGGACCCCTCAATCTTACCTTCTAATTATCCCTGTGCATGGAATAGACAGGACTTGGAAGAAAACTACCATATTTTGTTTCCAAATTTACTGTTAAATCTTTATAAAATTAGTGCAGTGTAAGAGAACATATTTAATTCTATTGGGTTATATTTAGCAGAATAGATTAATCATTTAACAGGGAAATGAATTGCCCTGGCCACTTCACTTTGCATAAATGTTTAATCTGTACATCATCTTACCTGTTTTTTGCCTTGCTTCTGATTTTTGTAACTTACCAGATAAAAACTTTTCAAGAAAATTTGAAAGCTGCTTATTATATTGTGCCATTTTGATTAGTTTTATTAAAGTTACCTTTCTGCTGTGGATCTCATATTTTTCCTTACTAGACAAATCATTTTAAAAAATGTTTTATTTTGATGCTTTGACTACATGGGATATAAGGATTGCAGCTGTTTCCAACTGGGTGTTCCCCTGCTAAAGTAACCTACAGCCCCATCACCTCAATCAATCAGACTGAAACTTTCTTCATCACAAATGGTAAGACTTCTTCCCAATCTAAGGCCAGATCCATAATTATCAAATGTTTAGCTTAATGGGATTTCTAATAGATTTCAATAATTTTTAACGGTAATAGTGCACGGGGTGTTATTGGGCATAACAGCTTAATTGTGTTTTGAAAGCTGTTTATTCTTAAAACCATTTTCACAAAGCATTTCTTCAGATTGATAGCATGTAGTAAAATAAAAACAAGCATCACATAGCCAACCTTGGCTGAACTCAAAAATAGGTTAGCGGACTTGAATGTGGATAGTTCTTGCTAGGAGATCCCAGGGCTAGGTGCTAGACCGGACATGTCAAACTCATGACGTCGCGTGACATATCGGAGCTTTTTCCCCATTTCCTGGTGACGCGTCCAGCCCGCGGACCAGCAGTTTGACACCCCTGTGCTAGACTAATAAGTTGAATATCCAGGCAGTAAGCAATGGGGATCGGTTCTGTTGAGTTTAACTTTGGACGTTTATCCTTTTTTTCTTTATTGATTGAATGAATCTTAGAATTAAATCTCAGTTTAAACACTAAGCAGCAATTTTATTGTGTCAAATATTTGAAGAAAGCAATACCTAGTGCCTCTCAGTAGCAGAATATTTGTTCCGACACACATTCCCTTAATTCTATTTGTATACTTCCATGCCTGGATATCCCATAAGCATGTACATTAAGGTAGCGTAGTTTTGGGGCCAGCCAAACCATTCCATATTAGATAGGTATTCCAGCCTTTTCTCTAGTGTTTGGCCACCAATTTCATGAAATAATTTAATATAAGACATATTATTACAGCAGACAACAGTCATAAGATAACAAACCCAGAACTTCACAAGAACTAGATCTGAGTCAGCTTCTGCAGAGTCTTCATCTTCTTCAAGATAGGAAAGCATAATTTCAGGAAGGTGGTGAGCTTTGGCTTCATTTTGATTTATGGGGTTAATGTAGCATACACTACACAGTCCTTTTAATACGGAGATTCTGACTTTTGTGGATGTATCTGGCATAATCAAAATATCAATCATGTCCTGAATATATTGTAAAGCAAGACTTCCAGCACCAACACCACCTGTAAAGCAATCATAGTTCTTAAATTCTGAGCCACTTTCTGCATAAACAAAGCCTGTTGACCACTAGTATCCCAAAATGCCCTATTCCATACAATGGATGGTTGATTTAAGGCACAAAATATCACATGGATCTAGCTTGGTTCATCTGTCTGAGTTCCTTTGATTCATGCAGGCAAAAAAAATATTCACTGCTGCCAGCTGCAAATTTCCCAAATTTTCAATAAATGACATCAGCAATCTGCATGTAAGATGAAGCAGATTCTTCTCCTTTCCTGCCCTCACTCAGCTTGCAGAATTTGCACTGATGATTTGAATACTGATATCACGGCTGCCTGAAACAAGAAACAACAGCCAGAAAAATGGGATTTCTGCTTCTCAGTTTAACCCAGAGAAATCAGCTCTGAGCCCAATACTGTGTTTCCCCAAAAATAAGACCTACCCTGAAAATAAGCCCTAGCTTGATTTTGGGGGTTGGGCCTAATATAAGCCCTACCTCCAAAATAAGCCCTATTTGAGAGCCTGTGCCAACCAATTGCCCATTCTATCAGACATCTGGTTGCTAGACACGAGGCATGGGGGGACCTCTGCCATGAGGTAGGTGGGAAAGGGGGGAGCTACCCCACGCATCCCGCAACTGCTTACTGTGCTGAAGGGACCCCATAGCTAGGCCTTTCATGTCCCAACACCTGTCACACCTCGCCTGTTCGGTAGTGGCTTCTCCCACTTTCTCCTTCCTCCTCCTTTAAACAGCCCTTCGCTCCCGCTGCTGCTTTTTCAGTCCCGGATCTCGGTTTGTCCAGAGCCTGTGCAGACGGTCTTTGGAACGAAGCCCCACAGTGACCGGGTGGGGTGGGAACCATTCCCTTCTCATTTGGACCAGCTCCGAAAGGGCCACACTAGAGTGCATTCACGTGCCTCCAATCCCCTTGCTTGCTGCAATTTGGCTTTGCAGCAAGCAAAGGGATTGCAGGCACGTGAATGCATGCTAGTCTGGCGTCTCAAAAAAACTGGGGGTTTTCTGTGGAAATGTATAAAATCGTACAAGAATCTTTAAGTCCAATACTGTTGGAACTATTTAATGAGATCTTAACAAAATATCTAACTAAAATACCAGCCTCATGGAAAGAAGCCCTCCTCACCCTGATTCCTAAGGAAAACTCAGACCTGGCACATATTAAGAACTATAGACCTATCTCATTATTAAATTCGGACTATAAGATTTTTATGGCTATAATGGTGCAAAGACTTGAAAGATTCCTAATAGATTTTATACATTCTGATCAAAATGGCTTTTTATCTAAAAGATACATAAGAAACAGTGTCAGGATTGTTCTGGATGTATTGGAGTATTATGAGGTACACAATGAAAAGCAAATGGGTTTAATTTTCCTCGATGCACAAAAAGCATTTGACAATGTGAAATGGGATTTTATGCTCAATCAATTGTTGTATATGGACTTCGGGGAAAATGTTATAAATATGTTCAAATCAGTTTATTTTAAACAGGCAGCAAAAGTAATAATTAATGGAGAAATGACCGATAGCTTCCAAATTCAAAAAGGTACAAGGCAAGGTTGTCCATTATCGCCGTTATTGTTTATGCTGTCCCTAGAGGTACTAATCAGAGTGATTCGGAAAGATGAACAGATCAAATGTTTAGAGATCAAGAAAGAAATGTTTAAAACGCAAGCCTTCGCAGACGATTTAGTTTTTATAATCAAAGAGCCATTAAAATCAGGGACAAGATTGATGGAAGTGTTGAGTAAATATGGGGAAATAGCAGGTCTAAAGATAAATAAAGAAAAAAACTAAAATGCTCATCAAGAATATGATTAAAATACAGAAAAATGAATTGGTTGACAGAATAGGTATTCAAATCATGAATAAAATAAGATATTTAGGGATACAACTAACTGCTAGATATGTTACACTTAAAAGAGACAATTATGATAAGCTAATGGAACAGATTAAAACTGATTTAGATACTTGGACCAACTTACAGCTCTCCTTTATGGGCAGAATTGCTGTAATCAAAATGAATGTGCTACTGAAAATTTTATTTTTGTTCCAATGTATACCCATAAAATTAGATAAGAAATTCTTTCAAAACTTTAACAAAACTATACTCAAATTTATTTGGCAAGGAAAAAAGCAAGGATTAAATTAAAATTACTGCAGGATTTGAAGGAAAGGGGTGGACTTGGCCTCCCTGACCTGGAAAAATATTATCAGGCCATAGTATTATTATGGGTTCGGGACTGGATACTATTGAAGAATAGGAGATTATTATGTCTGGAAAGTCATGATTTACAAATAGGATGGCATGCTATGCTATGGGATCAGAAATATAAAACAAATATTTTCAAAAGCATTACATCAGACGTGCTCTAATTAATGTATGGGTTAAAACCTGGCAACCAAATTATATTCAAGACCCTGGCTGGATCTTATCACTAGAAATGCATTTACATCCAAAGTTTATACAATTAGGGAAGATTATAACATATAAAATTGTACTAGACGAGAAAGGGGAATTGAAACCCAGGAAAATTCTTCGAGACGAAGGGGTAGAACTAGAATGGTGGGCATACCTTCAATTACAGGCGAGATATTGGAAAGATAAAAAAGAGGCATAAAAATAGAGCCGACAGGGCTGGATAAAATATTATTAGGTACTGAGGATAAAATGATAAAAAAGCTATATTATTATTTGTTAGATCAGGCAATGTATGAGGAACAGGTAAAAGAAACTATGTTAACGTGAAACAGGGTTTTTGATCTGTACATCTGGCAAGAATTATGGGTAAGAAATAGGAAGCTTACTTTGGCCACCTCCTACAAAGAAAATCTCTACAAAATGTTCTCTAGATGGCACCTCCCACCCACAAGATTAGCTAAAATGGGTCCAACTTTTTCTTCCATATGTTGGAAATGCAAATTGGCAATAGGGACATATTACCATATGTGGTGTGAGTGCTCAAAAGCCCGTGACTTTTGGAACAAGATAAAAAAATGGCTGGAAGAAATACTAATGATAGAGGTAGAGTTAAAATCAGAACTCTTCTTATAACTACGCAGAAATACGACAAAGGGATATTTTACTTGATGTTACACATTCTCACGGCTGCTAGATTGGCGTATGCACAAAACTAGAGGAATAAAGAAATTCCAACAGAAGAAGAGATTTTATATAAAATTTTATCGTGTGCTGATATGGATAGGCTCACAATGGAAATTAAAGACAAGACAGTCAGATTACTTTGAAATCTGGGACAAATTCTATTACTGGTGTGAATCAAGGAGAACTGTTCGGGTTTTAAGTTAGTGTTAAGATAGAAATATATAATTGTATGTTAGTATATAGAGAAACAAATTAGAGACTATTGTATAGAAAAATATGTATATAGAGAGATTAAGAATTATATGTATGAAGAGGAACAAATTGTTAGAAATATTTACACTGGAATGTTACGTTATGTCCATCTTTGTTTTAACTGTATTATAAATTTAAAAACTTAAAAAAAAACTGTTTTTTTTTTTCAGGGCTGCCAGATTTTCGCTGCCAGACTGTTTAACTTCCTTTAAAGTTTGCTTGATGCAGAATGCGGCTCCTTCCCATTGTGCATCAAGTAAACTTTAAAGAAAATGAACAGTCTGGCAGTGAAAATCCAATAGCGGGGAAAAAAAACCCAGGTCTTGAGTATGGGGAATCTGCACCGCCCGCCTCCCCCAGGGCCTTCACTTCGCTCAATTGATAAGCTGGCTATCGTACTGTAGAGGTGAAGTTTAGCAGGCTGAGCATGCAGGCAGAGGCATGGGGGGAGGCGGGCAGTGCAGATTGTGCGCATCTGCCTCGCTGTTTTCAGCGGCACTTCAGTACCCCGGTGGCTGGCCAGCCACCTCAAATCAACTGCATCATGCCATGGAGAGATTGGCTGAGGTTTGGGGAATTGTCTATCCCTATTTGTGGCGTGGCTGCCAATCAATTGCCATGCCACTTCTCGGGAGGGCAGCATCAGCTGCCAGTGCGGTTGTGGGGAAGGCAGAAGGCAATCCCGCCCACCAGATCAGCCTGGCGGGGGTGGGGTGGGAAACCAAGCAGCGGAGCCTCCAGGAGCTGCAGGGATCCCTGTGCACCCTTTGCAGTTGTCCTCCTGCAACGTGCAGCCTCTCCCTGTAAGAAATCCGGTTCCCCCAGGGTAAGGTTGGTCATCGTGGGAGGCTTGTCCCGCATGTGCGGTAGAGCTGGAGGACGGGGATGGGCTACGCCTCCCTTACATTATTGATGATGAATGTAAATGAAAAGGCAGTTTCCAAAGCCTTCCTTCCCCACCAAGTGAAACCTGAGTCACCTGGGGGGGTGGCGCTGGCTGGGCTGGGCCTTGTGATGAAAAAATAAGACATCCCCTGAAAATAAGCCCAAATGGGTCTTTTGGACCCAAAAAAATATATAAGACCCAGTCTTATTTTGGGGAAAACACGGTAGAACAGCACAGGATGTGTTGGACATGCTTGCAAAGAAGGCATCAGCTGAACCTGGAAATGTTACTGTCACGAGCAGGAGTGTCTGCTACAAAAAAGGATCCATAATGGGTATATAATTGCTGAGTGCTGTATATAATTATGTTGTGGTAGGCTGCTCTTTTTACATTGCACAGTTCTTACATGAGTAAGTTTCTAAAATAAAAACCTTAGTTGAAGAAATGTATGAATTAAAAAAAACCCTCCTGAATGGAAAAAAAGTTGGATAAATAAACTGGAGGAAGGCACTTTTCCTGCATTAAAAAATATTACTTTGCATGGCTCCACTCCATTACATGTCTGGCTTGGAGGGCAGTTGGAAGGAGGGGCTTTAAAGTTTGTTCTCTGTTGATTAAAAAGGAGATGAGGTATGATGATAGCCAAAGGATCAATTAAGTTACAATTCTTGCTTCTAAACACCATTTTTATCGAGCAATTGGAAACTTTAAATAGCAGTGATGACTTTCAGGTCTTTTTAAGAATGCGGTAATTTTGAGCCACATCTCTTCTAAGTCCCAATTAACAGGCAAGGACAGAGATTCTACTGTAGTTGAAGACCCCAGAATACCTGTATCTCCACCTGAACTCTGTAGGTCTGATCAGTCCTGCTTCCTTAATATTTAGGATGGCAAGCCTTTTGGGCTTGATGTGTCAAAAATTCATAGTGTCTAACTCGGTGGTTCTCAACCTTTTTAATGCCGCGACCCCCCAACCGGTCGTAAGTTGAGGACTACTCAACTGGTCGTAAGTCGAGGACTACTCAACTGGTGCAGCACCGTTTGCAGAATGGGACTTTTGGCGGGCTCAGCAGGGCAGAGACACCCTGGACAATTCCTATTGGCTTTTGAAAGCCAATAGAATTAGACTCTATTCAAGAGAGTCTATTCTATTGGCTTTCAAAGCCAATAGAATAAAAGGGAGTAGCACAGCTAAGGAAAAGGGGGGGGAAATGGCGGACTGCGTTGTTTGGCAACCCCCGTGAAATGGTTGTTCGACCCCAAATGGGGTCCCGACCCACAGGTTGAGAACCACTGGTCTAACTTGACTCTGCTGAAGCATCATCCTGAACAAGGGAAATAATCTCCCCTCTCCCCTGCATCTATGCATATGAATAGTGGCATTTGACAGTGCCAAAGCTGGGCCTGAAATTGAGACCTGGGCCTCAATTTTAACCTTAGTGCCACTGCTGACACTCAAAAAGACTAGCTTGGGGAATGGTGCAATTGGACCCATGGCCCAGCATTCCCCATGATCTACTATACCCGCTTAACTTCAAACTGACACCCCCCTCTGGCCTGAGGCTACTCCAGGTTACACAAGATGTTCTTGAAGAATGCTCTTCTGCAGCCTCCAAAAACCGGCAAAAGCACTCCCCACTCTTGTATTGCCCCCCCCCACATAACTTCCAGAGGAACTGAGGTCATGTAAGAATACGCCCCACTTACATGCCGCATCCACAACCTAAAATTGTTCTAGAATGGGGTTGCTTTCAAAAAATAGTTGTTGGATGTTGGTGGAACGCTGGCATGTCACCCAAAATGTAGTGTGTCACCTTTGACATATTTTGTAAGTTTGATATCACTGATTTAAGGAAAATAGTATCACATATTATTTAGATGAGTGTAGAATACATTGATCCCCTCCTTTTGAATCTTTTATCCCAAACCTAGCTCAATCTTCCATGCATACCTGTGTAAGCTAGCAGGCCTACATATAATGCAGCCTTGGCTCTTTCTTCCAGTGACAGTTCTGTATTTCTTAGATCCATGCCATATATTTTAATTTTGTGGTGGTGGAAGATCGGATCTATCAGCTTGATCATTGGTTCCCTCCTTCTATCACTATAGATGTTATAGCAAGCTTTTAGTGTACTAAATACAATTCCCATGTTGCCTAAAAAAGTATACTTCTTTCATCAAGTAGAAAAACGCTGGAAAAATCAATATATTGGTTCAGTTACTACAAAACTCACTCATAACTGGTAACTAGGTAATGAGTGTTGTAAACAGAATGTACAATGTAACAGCACAGATTCTTAATGATGTCATGCGTAGGGTTATTCCTCTGCTTTTCTAGTTTACTTAAATCCTACTTTAAAAAAATATTTCTCTATTAATTTTGCATCACCCTTTTAACTTTTCTCTGTACCAACTGAGATTAATTAAAAGATACCTTCTTCAGCTCCACATTCCAATAAACAGCAGAACAGCAAGTTCTAACTCACCTTTGGAAAAATCCAATATTTAACAGCACTTGCTAATTGAACTGTGTTCTAGAATTAGCAAAGTTGACGGTTAAAATTCCTTTTAAAAGTACATTCTACCAAAAGTGATAAGGCACTGAGGGAAGCTTTAAAGCCGAAGGAAAGAGTTCCCTGTCTTCTAAATATTAAATCTTAGCTTCCATTATCTGGGACCACAGTTGTTACAACTGTTAACAATTCAGTATCCAGGAATATTTGCAGGAAGAAGGTGTCTAAATCCTGCTTTGAAAGCTTTACACACCCATGAGTCCTTACAGGTAGTCCGGACTAAAAGTACAAGCTCTGTCTTTATTACATTAACAGAAAGACTGAAAAATATTTTTCCCCTCCTTTCCCTTTACCCTCTGGGAAAATTAGGGACAATCTCATCTGAAACATTTCCTACGCCCTCCCTCCTGCTACACGCAGTGTTTCTCAACCTTGACAATTTTAAGGCATGTGGACTTCAACTCCCAGAATTCCACAGCCAGCATTGTTGGCTGTGGAATTCTGGGAGTTGAAGTCCACATGCCTTAAAATTATCAAGGTTGAGAAACACTGCACAGGCTGAGAAATCTTTTATACACTAGTTGTCCTGTCTGCAGCTCTTCCTCCTGCCTCCCAAAGTCATTTCCACATACGTTTACAGGTACTGATTGCCAATAAGTGCAAGAAAACCTTATCACATGCTATTTCATATTTCAAAAATAATATTTATTATAACTTAAAGGAAGCAGTAAATACCAGAAATAACAAATACCACAAAATTAGAAGGCATATATAAGTCAAGAATCAGTACAAAAGACAGCCATAAAAGGTTGCAAGCTCATGTGAGCAATGTGCTATAAAATCCTGAAGCATAATACTTTCACATCTTATGAGAAATGCTTGTTTTTTTTCAGTAGACCTTTCACTAACTGTACAAATGTAATTTTAATCAGGTAATACTTATATTTGATTTATAAATATACAGATATATACATTCACGAAAATGTCTTAACCATGCATTTGCAAAAAGGCTTTATTAAATCATATTTCTAAACAAAACTCCAAAATCTACTTGATTCAGAGAATGCTTGATTGCTTTTTTTTTCTGCTTGTAGACCTGAAAAGTAGCTTTCATAATTGTATATCCACAAAAATAGCGGCAAGGAGTTTATTAAATACTTTGGAACTACAATTCTATTCATTTTTATTTGAAAGTAAATCAGGTTAAAAGGATTTTCTTCAGAGAAAGTCTGCATCAGATTAAGCTATAAGCTATCTTGATTACTTTATAGTCTATAAGGCAGTCCAGAATCATCTTTGTTATCATCTGTCATATTGAAAAATAAAATTAAATAAATCAAGTTCTTAAAAAGTAACAGGTAAATTTCCCCTCCCTGAAATTTTGGGAATTTGGGGCTTATCTGTCATTAAGTATACTCTATATACTTCTCTGTAGGAAAAAAAAAAGCAAATTTAATTTTTCACTTGCTTTACACAACTTCCACAATTGGTTATCAATGAAAAATGTATTCTAGTATCAACATGCATTCTGAGTGAAGGGCAGGAAAAAAGGAAGAATGGAAATTTAAACGGGGCACAAATCACACTATCTGGAATTTCACATCCTTGGTTTGGCCTAATTTTGAGTATTGCTTCTTATGCTAACTTAGATGGTTACCAGTAATAAAATCAAACAGGCAAATATTTGATGAATACAGAGATTCAGAGAAGGTGGGAGTCAGAATAGCTTTAAATGGTTGCTTTTCAATGTTTTCAACACAATATCACATATTGCAAACTGGCACAATTATGCCCACCAAACACGCACTGCTCTATATTTAACATATGTTATAATTTTAAAACATCTCTCATTTTTCCAAAGCTTTACAACAATTACTTGGATTTCACAAAAGCAAGATTATCATAATCTTCAACAAATTAATATTTCACTATAAGCTACATAGAAGAGCCAACAGCAGCCCATACATTAAATCCTCTCTCTTTTTTAATGCTCATAAATTCATAAGTTACAAAACAATTTTCAAATAATAGGCTTTGAATTTTCGTTTTTTTTTACAGGACCATCGTGGTTCAGATGAAATTGACATATCTTAAAATGTAAATTGAACACTTAAAAAGCTGTAGCCACTTCAGTTGTACGTCGACCACCAACTTTAACAAATTCACGGGGGAATTTGTCTAGCTGTTCATATGCCAGCCGTCCATCTTCTCCTGAACAGCGACAAAATAAAACAACAATTTAATGTTTCATCTTTTCAACCTGTGGTTCTAAACTGCAAATTCCAATCTCATGCTGCGTGACATGACAAGACTGGATATAATATCTGACATTTCAAAGAACTCTGATTATGGACAAAAATCGGGTCTCCTTTGAGATGACCTGGAGTCTTGGTAACTTCATGGAAGTGGCCTTTCAAGTTTTCTTGGTAACAATAATAGCAGTGTTTTATCATGGGCTTCTTCCAAATTTTTATTTTTACTTCCTAGTATAGCCTATAGCAGTGGTGGCGAACCTATGGCACGGGTGCCAGAGGTGGCACTCAGAGCCCTCTCTGTGGGCACGTGCGCCGTCACCCCAGTCCTAGGCCTTCAGCTGGGTTTTATAAAACCTTTTCGCTTTAGGCCTCCGCGACGGTGTGCAAAAAAAAAAAAGAAGGTTCAATCAATCAGTCAATTTCAACCTCGCGGGGAAAAAAAAGATCTTGCAAGTTGGAATTGATTGATTGAACTTTTTAGTCCCACCCAGTCTGCTGTTACCACTGCAGCCATGCCCACTCAATGGGCCACACCCACCAAATGGGCCACACCCACCCAGCACGATGCATAAGTGGGTTTTGGGTTGCAGTTTGGGCACTCAGTCTCTAAAAGGTTTGCCATCACTGGCCTATAGCCCTGGAATTTTCTATAAGAAATCTTACCTTTCCTCTCAAAAGATGAGGAAGAAGGAAAAGGAAGATGGAGAAATTGCTCCTTCTTACTTTTGGCTTCTCCCTTCCTAAGAATTCCAGTCATGGTGAAAGGAGTACAAGTTTTTATACAGCAAGTCACTTAATTACACTACCATGTTCATGTCAATAGGAGAAGATTATGGATGGTAAATTTGCTAATACTACCTCATTTCTATTTTTTGTAGTTCTTTGATTAACCCTTCTCATACTAATAGTTTGTTGTGTTCATTAGGTTTCTTTTTCCATCTGGAGTAAAAAGAGATACCAGCAAAATCATTAAAAAAAAACTCCAACCTACCAAGAGAGAGCAAGGTTTCAGAAGCTGTATTCCTAACTTCTTCATTGCCAGACTGGCAAAGAGTGACCAGCATTTTAATACTTTCAGTTGCCTATAGAACAATAAAGAAATAAATATATAATTCAGTTCTTTTCTTTCTTACAGAAAATCTTGCTTTATAGTGATTAATAGTACTGTACATCTGGGTTTTAAAACCTGTAATATATAGAATAGAAAATAGCAGAGTTGGAAGGGACCTTGGGGGTCTTCTAATCCAACCCCCTGCTCAAGCAGGAGACCCTATGCCAGGGATAAGGCAACCTTGGCTCTTTTATGACTCGTGGACTTCAACTCCCAGAATTCCTGAGCCAGCTGTCCACGAGTCATAAAAGAGCCAAGGTTGCCTATCCCTGCCCTATGCCATTCCAGACAAAAGGCTGTCCAATCTTTTCTTAAGAACCTCCAGTGATGGAACTCCCATTACTTCCAGAGGTAAGCCATTCCGCTGATTAATTGTTCTCAATTTAAAAATATAAAAACATATGTGCTTTCTCAAGCCATCTGGACGTGCCTCCACAGCTCAGAGAATCTTTTGCTCAACCACAGTGGCTACTGGTGCCCATGCAGACACATCTGAAAAAGTCCTCCCAAGAAACTTCCTGGGCCTTCTAAAGGAGGCAACTGGTATCATGACTTCAGCAGAGATACTTTGTTTACACAAAGATTCTTTACAAGGCAGCGGATTCCAATGCATTTTAGTTTTATTAGTTATGCATGTTTTAAAATTAAAGGTATTTGCAACGCTAAAAGATACACACACGTAGAGAGACTGATTACCGTATATATGTATGTATGTATGTATGTATGTATGTATGTATGTATGTATGTATGTATTGTCAAAATAATGATCACCAAGAGAATATCTATCAAAAATAGAATTTAATCCACCGAGCTTTCGTCAAATACATTTGACATCGTCAGGGTTAAAAGGCAAACGCCGGGGGAAGTCTTATATACAGTTGTTTAATGCCTGTTTCCGGCTCCTGGAGCGTGTCATCGGCCCCAGCTGATCGAGTTGAGTCCCAAGCACACACCCCACATCAGCACCTATCCTCTTTCCATTGCTAATTTGCATTCTGTCATACGTTACTCCATTAGCTGTTTCAGGGTTGGTCCGGTTGGGGGTCAGGATCTTTTCTCCTCCCCTGCTCATAACTCCCCCACCATCCCACACACGGCTTCCCTTAGGGAGCGGGGGTGGGCAATTATTTAAATTGCTTCCAATATCCCTGCAAGCCCCAAGACCACTTTGATCTTGTTTATCTATCCCTCGGGGTTGTAACGCAGGCTCATAGTCACAGCCCATGCTATTCCTCCTCCCCTCCTCCTTCCCGTGAGTTCTCCTGAATAATCTACTGTTCGTTTCCACGCTCTCTCCCTTGTGCACACTCAGGATGTTTTCTGCCATTGTCCCATTGTCAGTGCCTTGTTGTTCCGTCCGTTGTCGGTAAGCACCATTCCCACTCATCCCCAATTCTCCATTCTCACTCCGTACGTATGTATATATATACGTATGTGTGTGTGTGTGTGTGCATATATATATATATGAATGATAGATACTATTAGTGGAACAACCTGCCTCCAGAAGCGGTGAATGCTCCAACACTGGAAGTTTTTAAGAAGAAACTGGACAGTCATTTGTCCGAAATGGTATAGGGTTACCTGACTGAGCAGGGGATTGGACTTGATGACCTCCAAGGTCCCTTCCAACTTTATTATTATTATTATTATTATTATTATTATTATTATTATTATTATTCTACATATTGTTATATTTACAGGCAATCCTCAACTTATAACCATTCATTTAGTGACTAGTCAAAATTACAACAGCACTAAAAAAAAGTGACTTTTGACATTTTTTCATTCTTACGACCATTGAACAACTGTGGCAAGAAAGGTCACAAAATGGGCAAAATTCACTTAACAACTGTCTTGCTTAGCAATGGAAATTTTGGATTGAACTGTACCCTAAGTTGAGGACTACCTGTACCATACTCTCAAATGACTTACTGTATGACAATTTATACAATAACAGCTAACTATAAAAATACATAATTTGTTGGTAGTGAGGGACATTGTGACAGATTATTTTGACACAATTATCTTTCAGTGTCCCAAATTAAATATACCCATTACAATGGGGGGGGGGGTGAAGGATAATTCTTGACTAAAATCTATGCTAAAGGGGACAGGGGAAAGGAGGAATTATTCCCTTTTCTATTTCATCAACTCTCCTTACTAAATGGTTGCATTTTCTTCACATATATTTGCCTTCCTTTATACGCAGACCCTAATTTCAGCCCAGGAAACATTTCCATGTCAGAAAGGACGAGCTATGCACAAGAGGATTTGTCTTAGAAATCTGCAAAAGTTGATGAAGTTAGCAGTGTTGGCAAAATTGACTGCTTTGATTAAAGAAAAGAATACAATTAATTTTGTTTTTGTTTGGAAACTGCTTTTGGACTTAGTGCTAGGGGTGGGAAAATAAATGAATATTTGATTTTGGGCTTTGCTGATTAGATAGGTTTGTTGTTATAGAAATGGGTAGTATATTATATAAACGTAAAAAGGTGAGATTGTATGTTATTCTACTGCACCAAAAGGAATCGGAAGTCAGTTCTTTTCTTTTCTTTTTCTCCTTTCCCCTAAACCTTTTCTTCTTCCCCCTTTTCACTCCCCTTTTCCCATTATTTTCATTTTTCTTTGTATTTTATATTATGATATACTAATACAAATATCGAAGAAAACATGCTTTGTTTTAGAAATGTTTTTGTAATGGAAATATAAATGCATACACAGCAGATGGGAAAAACCTACCCAGTCAAATAGCACCTTCCTATGTTCTTCTAATCATCATATAATATAAATCAGAGTATAGCCTCTTTTCCAAATATATTGTTAGGCTGTATGCAACAAATCCCTCCCATTTTGGTAAAGTAATATCTGGACAGCCAACTCCAAGAGAACAATGCTCTTCTTGTTGTGTATTCAAGTCAGGTTACTGAAACCTCTGGTGGTTGGGGGGGGGGTTTTTGTTTTTTGTTTTTTTTTTTTGGCTTGGCCTTTTGTAGTTCATGGGAAAGTCAAGAAGGCAGAAGTTTACCTGAAGGCATTTCAAGGCCAGGCAAGCAGCCTTCTGCAGAGGGAGGCTGGGCTGGGCAAGGCTCTCGCAGTAATAAATTAAAGCCTGGAAGAAAAAGAGAGACCGTGAGACTGCAGAGCAACACCCTTTCATAACAACAGCAAAAAAAAAAAAAAAAAAAAGAATAAATCTTCTGCTTAAAAAAATAAATTCACTAAATAAAAAACAAAGCAGTATTCATCTCTTTGAAAGGAGAGCACTGATTGTTTAGGTAAGGGGGGAAAGGGCAACCAATTACCACAAAAGTTCTTACTTCCTGCCGCCACCATTCCTGTGTAGGATGCAATCAGAGATGTGTAAATGTTCTATGAATGAAGCATCATCCTACGTGTGGAAAAGCCGCTTTGAGCTCATGCCCAAACCGCAACATTTGTTTTGAATATTTGGATCTGTGCCTGGTCTAAAGCCAGGCTATTCTAGGCAAAAAGAGTTAGGGAGGTTGAACAGCAGGAAAAAGCCAGCCTGGCAAACTGGGGGAAGAGAAGGCTGTTGTACACTGTTCTCTCTCTCCCCTCAGCTACTCCCAGCATGGCACATCCCACTGGACCATCTATCCCCACCAGTCTTCTCAGAGTAATCAATCCCTCCCTCCCTCCCTCTCTCCCTCCCTGTAACAGCATAACCCACCAACCTGCCCATCCCCATAGTCTTCTGAGCTTCTTCCTTCCCTCTACAGCAGCGGTTCTCAACCTATGGGTCGCGACCCCATTTGGGGTCGATCGACCATTTCACGGGGGCCGCCAAGCAAGGCTGTCCGCCATTTTTTCCCCTTTTCTGGCGGGTGCCTTACCTCCCTTGGGCTGGGCCAGCTGGTGGCCCAGCCGGTGGTCGGCCTGCTCCATCTCTGCTGCTTGCCAGCTACGCCTCGGCCGGCGCAGGGGGCGGCACCACGCATGTGCGGCGCTCCCGGGCAGGGAAAGTCCTCGACTTACCACCGGTTGGGTAGTCCTCGACTTACGACCAGTTTAGTCCTCGACTTATGACCGGTTTAGTCCTCAACTTACGACCGGTTGGGGGTCGCAGCATTAAAAAGGTTGAGAACCACTGCTCTACAGGAGAGTGTTGGCCATGCTCCAGAATATATTCCCATTTACTTCAGGCAACCTGGCCTGCATCTCAGCGATGCCGAGAGCAAAAAGCAGCATGTGCAGGGATGCCACTGATAAAACATTTCTGGCTGTCACATCAACTGGAAAGACCCAGAGGGAACCAGATCTAAAATTACACTTTCTTCTACTGAAAGATCTACCACCTTCCTGGAGCAATGAGCAATGACATCTAGCAATTTGATCTTATTTTTATTGGTAGTCACCTTCAATTTATTATCTCTCATCTAGTCCAGAACCAATTGCACATAGGCATTTAGAGAAGTTCCATTAATTATCTCAAGATATTATAAAGAAATCAATTGGGTATTATTAGCATATTGGTAGATACTCAGCAGTTTCATGTAGCTACTGAATTTCTGAGTAGTGCCACAAGAGACATCAAATAATAATATATAACAATGGCTGTTTTATCTATATGCCTCCTAATGGCACCATCTGAAATCTAGCTGAGAGTCAGAAATGCAGTAAGTGGCTCCTATTTTTCCAAATTCTGCGCTAACTAGAAGAATAAACCTAAGCTACTGAGGGGGAGAAAAATCTATGGGTTAACCAAAGTAATCGAACCCTACTAATTCTCAGCATGTCAATATAAATCCAGCCAATTGCAATTGTTCAATTAACCAGGTTCAAACTATTATTTAGTATGATGTTTAAAAACAACTAAAATCTGGTAATTCTACTTTTGTCTAATAGGTTTTCTCTAATACTTACCTTTTCCCTGAAGTGTTTGTTTTCTGCTGCAGCAGCTGACAATATTGTTACTACAGCTTCATAGGTTTCCCTTTTATTTTCAGTCAGAAGGACAGCCAAAGACTTCAGCACTTCTTGTTGAGGTGAGAGACTAATGGAGGTTAAATTGGCCTTATTCTGCAAGAACTTTTCATCTCTTAAAGACTGTAGAGTTTGTGCCATTAAAGCTAAAACACAAAGACATTTAACAATTTGTCCCTTTTTAGAAAAAGTTAACAGATTTGACTAATAGATGACTTTGAAATGCATGCAAACATCCAACAGTATCTGTGAAGTGTAAAATAATTTTAAATATGTGAGAATGAGCTATCCATATTACTACCACTGCTGACCATAGCTACAGTGTTCTATCTACAGCCTCCATCATCACACTGTAGAACTCATGGCTGAAACACATGGCTTAATTTGTGTACTTGTTCATTCCTGTTACATCCTCTTTTTTGTATAGAGCAAAATGATGAAGAACACTCTACAAAAAAAAAATCTGTCTTGTGTAAAGAACAATTATGAAATGTTCTGGAATCCTCAACAACATTCAGATGCTTTTCTACCATTTTAGTTGTTTCTAAAAGTATTGCTGCATTATGGAATTTGAACTTCTGAAGAGCCTGTTTCTTACCTTCTCTTGCAAGCTGAAGCAAATAGTTTGCCAGATCGCTAACATTTTTATTAGCTAAATAGCTGTAATACTGAAAAACTGTTATGACTTCCAAGGACAGACTGGAGGAGAGGAGAGGTTCTGCACGGTCCAAGATATGAGAAATCAAATTTCCAAATACTGCATACAACCAGATAAAAGTATTAGTTAGCAAATGAATCCTCATTAATAAGAGCAATATCAAATTACTGGAGGCAAGTCATTTTAGAAAGGGTAATAAGTTTTAGAAAAAATAGACCACTTCATACTTTCTAGAAATTTAGAACTATAATTTCCAGAAAGAATCAGTATAACAATGATTAGAGATCATGAAAACTGTAGAATATTGGCAATCTTGGGGAAACTGATTGGTACCTTTTCTCTACAATGACACTCAATTCAAAAGTCATTATATCTCTATCATATCCAAATAAACAAATGGCTTCTGTTATGATATGACATGAATTCACCTTAAAAGTGATTGATTTTAGTTGAATATATTCATTTTTTATTATGGGCATGGTCTAAAAAAATCTGGAATTGCACACAAAAATGTTATTGCTTAAAGAACTCAAAATAATTTATTTAAGTAGCAACTTTAAAACTAGTTTTTTAGCTAAATTTTGGATAAAATCTTATAAGAATGTTAAAGGTCCATGCCCATGCACATATGTAATTATTTCAATATTAGCTAGATACAGTAATATTTAGTCAACTAGCTAGTACTGTAAGATGAGATAATGTATTTTGTTTGACAAAAGGCTTTTTGGAATTCAGTAATACTAAAAATATTCCTATTGTAGCTATTTATCTCTGCCTGCTCATTGTGCCTTATATACAGAAATGGTCCTGACTGTAATATATACATTTCTTATATATATAGTTTTCAATCAAAACTAATTTTATACCTCTGGAAATCTATTCATTTACTTGTTTATACTAATATTACATCATATTATACAATAATAGTGCAATGGCATACATGATATTACAGAGTTTAATGCCCACACTGATTTACTTTAAGATTAAATGTTTATGTAGGACTTCAATCTCAAATTGTGTCACAGCCCTAATATTTGAATCTTGAAAGACCAGATATTCAGCAGAAAGTTCCAGTTACTATGTTTTGAAATATCTGATTAATTACTGGCAATAGTGGTCTTTGCAAACACTTTTTTTCTGGAAGCATGTTAGGTAACTGTACCTGTCTCTGAAAGTCCTGGATATTCTCCATTCACCACTGTAGAAAAAGTGATATCCAATTGTATGATCATTTTGTCTGCAGAGGTATGATACAACCCAGAAGAATTGGTACATTTATTCCAGAAAGAAAGAAGGGATATCTTTTTCTGAAATTCTGGAATTGCTAATGGAAAAGAATACCATAATAGTGAATTATTAGTATAAATTTAAATCAGACAATAATCAGCTCTATATTGAAAGGAAATGGATAGAAATTAGTAAATGGTTATATTTACTTGGAAAATGGAACAAAAATAATGTTCTTTGACTGGAAAGATAATAATTTATTGATTATGTCTATCATTTACACAATCTAGATCAGTGTTTCTTAACCTCAGCAGCTTTAAGATGGGTAGACTTCAACTTCCAGAATTCCCTAGCCTGGCTAACATCTAGGCTAATATCTAGTCCAAACATTTTAACATTGCTGAGATTGACAAACATTGTTCTAGATAAATGTAAAGTAAGATATTGAGATTTCATGTTAGAAGAACATTTACTAGGAGAGGGGCCACAGGTTGTCCACCTTTGCTGCTCTTTAGACAACAACTCCCCGTGGTTTTAAACTGTTTTTTCCCCATGTCCTTCCTTTTAATAATTGGGAATTCTGTGCCCAGGATAGTTGGAATGCCGACCACTGTTCTGTGCCTGATCTACTGCTCTTTTTCATCCAACTGGAATCTATTCATATTTCTCAGAAAGAAATTCCCCTGGTTTCATTAATACTTTTCCCCAAAGAAATCTGCAGGGGGCTGATTTAGCCTATTCCCACATAGGCTTACGTACAAAATAGTTCATGGTACTGTATTTAATCAGGCTTACACTGAATAAATAATTGTACAACAGTAGCCTTAGAGAGTAGGTCTGAACACGCACAGAAAAGTACTGCATTGTGTATGGTAAGAAACAGAAATACATAATCATATTTTCATATGAACATTGTCTACGCTATTTCTCACCTTCACTTACAGGTCTGAAGCTTCCCAGAGTCTCACTGCTGATCTCTGCAAGATTTTCAATCACTAAAATTTGTTGGGATAGTTTATCCAGAAGAGACCTTGTGACAAATGGAGTTCTACTAGAGAATACAATTTGCTGGTAAAATAAGGAAAAACAACAGTGTAAATATTCCTTACACAGATCCAACATTAATTAGGTCACAATTCTAAATGTGAATGAATGCCAATTTATCAAAGAATGATGTTATAACTTTATATATTTTACAAACATGATCTTTATCATACACTTTAAAAATGTGATTCATATGATGTGCTTCTGTTAATTGCCAACCAGCTATATTGGATTGTATTATTTTGATTTCATAAAAATTATGTGCCTTTTATCTATATAGAGGACTTGGTACTGTATGTTTCTCTAGTAGTGATCTCTTTTCTCAGCAAAGTAAATAAAGCACAGTAAACAGATTTATTACATTATGATTACTTTGAATATGCCATATTTACCTCAGAGGAAGAAAACACTAAGTTTATGATTACTATATACAAAAAAAGTGGGGAAATACTTTCATTATTGCATTCTCAGAAAATGCACACTAATCCACCTGAATAATTTCTGGGAGGGAGGGGGAGAATTATGCTTTTTATATTATTTTAGGCTGATCAGTGACCAAAATAAATATTTTATTATTTATATCCCGCCTTTATTATTTTTATAAATAACTCAAGGCAGTGAACATAGGTAATACTCCTTCTTCCTCCTATTTTCCTCACAACAGCACACCTATGCAGTGGATTGGGCTGAGAAAGTGTAACTGACTAAAGTCACACAACAGGCTTCCATGCCTAAGGTGGGATTAGAACTCACGGTCTCCTGGTTTCTAGCCTGGTGCCTTAACCACTACATCAAACTGCCCAATTCTGACTTATTTGGAAATACGTCTCATTCACTTGAGTAGTATTTTAACCCTACAAAGTATATAAAATTATATTTTCAATTTAAGTCTGAACTCATTAGGTTTTCTGCATAGTTAAAACCCTGATTTTGTTTTTCGAACAACTTATGACAGCTCAAACTGTGTGAAGAAGTCCGGGTCAGACGAGAATATGTAGCCTCTGTCTCCTATAGTGTCATAAAGGGCCATGGTTCCCCACCCCTGCTCCACACCAATCTCCATTTTAAATCTCATCCCATGTTCTCCATATATGATCTTATTTTATCATGATCCACTTAAACCTGAACAGAACATCTGTTCATTCTTTGCTGTTCAACCATGCCATGCTGAACAGCAAAGAATGAACAGGAGTTCTGTTTAGGTTCAAGTGGACCAGGTTAAAATAAGATCATATATGGAGAACATGGGATGAGATTTAAAATGGAGATTGGCATGGAGCAGGAGTGGGGAACCATGGCCCTTTTATGACTTGTAGACTTCAACTCCCAAAATTCCTGAACCAGCCATGTCTGGGCGTTGAAGTCTATAAGTCATAAAATGGCCATAGTTCCCCACTTCTGGCATGGAGAATAGCAATAAAATTTGGGCCTTTATGTCTTATTGGAAATATCTGAAGAGAAGTAAGTTTTTTTTCTGGATAAAAGACCTTTCACATTCCGTGGCTTCTTTGGACAAGCACATTGGCTAGTTCCCCCCCCCCCCAACAGCAGAGTCTGCTCTTTTTGCCTTATACAAGAGAACTACCAGTACACAGGAAATTAACTTCCAACAAACAAGGTTGTGTACACAACACAGAAAACAGGTCTCAATATTATTTTTTGAAAAAGCATGTAACCCTATGGGATACCTGGATAAGCTGTGTGCAGTACTGCAAGTGCTTGACTATGGTGATATCAAGGCTTTCATTTCCGGTGGTCAATGGCAGAGGACTTCCAGCCACACTGGTTCCAACTCCTGTGTCTTCCGTCAATGCTTCACTGAGATGCCCTCTGCCTTCTGGGTGTTCTGACCTGTAACTGTTCAAGCTGGGAGGTAAGTGAGCAGTTTGATTTTCTTTTCATGTAAGCAATGGACAAGAGAAATTGTTGAAAGCACTCTCCTGTAACCAAACAGCTCTTCATAGGCCAGTAACCTTTTAATGAATACATTGTATCTCAAATTGGCAGTAGCATTAGGTAAAAAGTGCCAAAAAAGTGTCTGCATTTAAAGGATATATCGTTTACCACACTAGCCTACTTGTTTCTTTGAAACAATCATTTTTTGTAAGGAAGTCTTCCTAAGAAGTCTTTGAAATCAACCTTTGCTATAACTTTTTTTTTCCTTTTTTTTTCTTTTCACCTTGGTTTGTTAACAACATCCTTTGCCAAACTGCTCTGTGGATATAACTGAACTGCAGATTTGTGGTTTTCAAAAGTTATACAATTAAGATGTAATATGTCAGTCCTTTCTTGACATGTGATTAATTGTCCAGCTAAAACAAAATTAAAAAGTAAGAGTGAGAGAGAATCTGTTGGAAAGGAAGTCATAACTGATTTACAAAGAACAAACACCAGTTTTCTGTTTCCTTTATTCATAGCATACAAAAATCTTTCATTCTCCAAACTATTTTAAGTCAAGGAAATGTTTAAACTTTAATGAAGTCTTGTCCGCTCAGCAACTTCCCATATCATCAATTATGGTATCCTTCTACATCAGTTTTGGGGGTTGACGTGGGGGCAAAGTTTTATTCCCATATACCTCTATCCCATGGGGTAAATATCCATCACATTGATAGGGGAGGTATAGCCTGCAATGCCTGCTTTTGTGACCTGCTACAAATGCCTCAACACTCTCTCCATTTCTATTTTTCATTTACACAAAACTGCTGGATGAATCCATTTGATGGCATAGGGTAAGGCAGGGGTAGGCAACCTTGGATCTTTTATGACTCATGGACTTCAATTCCCAGAATTCCCGAGTCAGCTATGCTGACTCGGGAATTCTGGGAGTTGAAGTCCATGAGTCATAAAAGAACCGAGGTTGCCTACCCCTGGGTTAAGGTATCATAAGTATGCAAATGATAGTCGGTTACACATCTCCATCCCAGGCTGACCAAGCCTTGCAAAGCCTTGGAGATCTTGCCTTGGTATCTGGAGGCTATGGGCACCTGAATAGGGAGGAATAGAGTTTAGATCAGTGGTTCTCAACCTTCCTAATGCCGCGACCCTTTAATACAGTTCCTCATGTTCTGGTGACCCCAACCATAAAATTATTTTCGTTGCTACGTCATAACTGTAATTTTGCTACGGTTATGAATTGTAATGTAAAGATCTGATATGCAGGATGTATTTTTATTGTTACAAATTGAACATAATTAAAGCATTATATGTAATTATGTGTTTTCCGATGGTCTTAGGCGACCCTTGTGAAAGGGTCATTTGACCCCCAAAGGGGTCGCAACCCACAGGTTGAGAACCGCTGATTTAGATCAAGCCTGGTAGGACTAGGTGGGTCCAGTGATATTCAATTTAGTTCTGGATGGTGTTGCACAACCCAAGACAGAATGGTTTACAATTTGGAAGTCCCTCTGGTCTCGTAACTCCTGTTCAAAAATGGGGGGGGGAGTATTCTTGTACAGTTTCATGTTGTATGCCAATTATACCGTTCCTGGATTGGAAGGCACTGTTTGTGGTCATACATGTTTTAGCCACCACCAGAATGGCCTACTGTAATGCATTCTACTACATTGGATCTACTATAAGATCTAATGATCTTGAAGAACATCTGGAAGCTGCAATTAGCCCAGAACGCAGGGCCAGGAGCAATTACTGATGTTTTTCAATGAAGGGGGAGTGGTCTCTATCCAGTCTATTAAATCAAGCAGGAGGGCCATGCCTTGATCCCCAACAGTTATGTCATCTTGTGGAACCCAGAAAACGTGCCCTTCCTGTGATGGTACCTGCCCCTTGGAACACCTTACCCTGTGAGATCAAATTGATTCTGAGCCTACTGGTTTCCAGAAAATGTCAAAAACCTCATTGTTCTCCCAGGCATAGGGATTATGAAGTAAGTGAAATCTGATTCTACATCCTACATTATAAGAGATGAGGCAAAGGATTATGTACGTATAATCTGATAAATACAGAAAAACATTACCATATTCTTTTTCACTTTCAGTACATCTTTTTGAATGAATGCAGAATGTCTCAGTTTACAAGTACAAAGGGAATTTATCTGTAACCCCTATAATCTGTTCTGCTAACAACATTCTCAGTACTCTGTCAAAAATTACTAATCTAGGGGCTCTTGTATTTAATTTCATCTTTCTTGAATGATCACTACGTACTATTCTGGGCAGAAAGGGATAAACCTGAGAAGCATTCAGTACTGACATTCTTACCTGTTTTTCTCGATTTCAGTGTCTAAGAACACAGAGTCTGCACCATGAGCATCACCACAAAACTCATCAGTACCACCTTCATCTTCAAAGTCAGAAGTGTTGAGGAAATCAAAACTTTCCAGTGCATTCTCAATTGTTAGGCTTAAGCTGGATGACCTGCTGTGACTTACTACTGGTCTGCACTGAAAGCAAAACCAAAACAATACATAAAGAACAGTTTAGCCATTCAAAATGGTTTAGTTTCAAGAAAATTCCAAGTAAATTGACTGTGAGAGTTTGTCTTCAAATCCACCAATGATCCCCTACAGTGGGCATATTTTGTTGGCTTGTTTGGCCTTGTTCTCCCATCACTTAATTTCCAGATTTTAGGATTTCACTTTTTATGTATTTTGAGAATAGAGGAGGATCTTAACTTATGGAAATTTATTTAAAGGATAGAAGCAGTTATGATGAGATTTAGAAAAATCAGATCTAAATGAACTGAGATTTCAAGTATTGAAAAAGCCCTACCGTGAGAAAACATTAAGTAATTCACTTCCCTGACATGCTCACTGGGTCAATTGAGGTGTATATTTAGTGTGATGAGGAAATTCCAAAATGAGATTATTTGATTTATGAAAGTATTGTAGTTGGGGTTAGATATAACTCAATCCAGGCCCAATCTTACATAACTCACCTGAACCTTCTGAGTCCATTGGGGCATAAATCATAGGTCCTTGGGTTAAAATAGCCATTGAGACTGGGAGATGGTTAAATGATACAATTGTAAAATGTGATGTCATGTGATGGGTGCCACTTTTTTCTCTAGTTCACTTAGTGATGGCAGTTCTAGTAGTCTCAGATTGCTGTTGTTAAGACCTTCCAACTTCCTACCTGTCTACCATTTGATTTTGTTTGTGGGAAACCAGCAAATGATATTAACTAATCCTCACATTATCATACATTTAGAAGAAAATGTGACCTTATCCACATTTGAAACTGGTGGGCTGATAGGCTTGAAACTGAAACTGATAGGCTTATATATTAAGCCCCTCTTTTATACATGTCATTAATCTAATACATTTTACAGTACATTTTAAATAGAAGACTTCAGAACTCCTACAACTATGTGAAAAAAATTGTCAACATTTTGCATCTGATCACTATTATTTCCAAAATTATAACGGTTGGCTTTCAAACACATACACACATACACACACAAGCTGTGTGTATGTGAGAGAGAGTGCGTCAGAGAAACTGAAAATATGCTAATTTGTCTGTTTATACATGGGTATACGCATTTTATTAAACAAATGCTGGCTTAGGGCTGTGACTCCTGTCAAAATGATAGCTCACTGCTTTATTAAATATTAAATAAATATTATTCTTTGTATATTATTCTTTGTATATTTTAATTCTTTTTAATGAATTCTAAAATTTTGATTTAATATTGTTGTAAGCTATCCATAGAAAATAGTCTTTAAAAGAGTGACGTAAGTAAAAAAAATGAAACTTACTAGCTTTGCTCATAAATATGGTGAAGAAAATCAAGATCAGAAACTCAATTATTTAGTGTTTTAAAACTATTTAATAAAGATAATTAAAAAATTACATTTCCTATACAAACAACGCTTTATGTGGTAACGTAAACTGAAGAGTGTAAATGTAACATTTAATGGTCTTTAACAGAGCTGTCATATTCTGTGGTAATTACTGTAGTACATTTTAGTTGAAATCGAATGCTAGTGTTACATGAGTACAAATTTAACCCAAGATTATCCAATGAAGTACTAATGCATTTCAATCAAAGTGGCCAATTATAAATCTGGAAACAGTATGTGTACTGAAAAGCTTCTGTAACACTAGTCTGAAAATGAAGTTCAGGAGCTATTCAAACAGCAATACTGCAATATTATAATATCTAAAATATTCACCAACCTATCAAAAGGATTATATTGTAAAATAAATATACATTTCAATTAAATGGGATTAAATGGATTACATAAATGAATTAAATTTATAGAGATGTAAAAAAAATGCCAGGAATTATCTCCAGATATTTCTCTAGTAACATCTATAATTAAACTATTCAATTTACAAACAGGTAACGTAATAAAATAGTTTTATGATAATGAGTAGCACTTTATTGTGCTCCCTGTAGTATTCTACTGTATAAGAAGCGTTTTTACAATGACATCATTAATTCAATTTGGCACTGGTTCATTTGGCATGCTAATTTATTATGAAGACTTAGTTGTATATACTGCTGTATGTGAAAAAAACATGGAATTACTTAACTGACAGTTATGTTGCATCAAAATAAAAGGGAGGAGAAAAGAAAACGTAAAATCTCCTTCAAATTCAAACTTTTCTTCTATAGGCAGAGGAATAATTAATCTTAAAAACAAGCAAAGCAGTAAACAATAAGTAGGATTGGAACTGGTTAATCTTTAGATGAGAGGCCATGAGAAAAATTACAGAATTGTGGACAGATACTTGAAAAACATTCCAGTAGAGAATACTGACAAACCATTTCTGTACTGTAATTAACTATATCAGAATGTCCTTGAACTTATCAGGGTTAAGTTTATCCAACTACCTGCCAACTTACATTAAACAAGGGAAAGAAAACTGTTATTCAATTCAGCTTGACCACTCATACCTGACTGATTTTGAGATTTCAGTTGGTGGATCTGCTCCTCATAGTACCTCATTACGTATTACTGGAATGGGAGGGCAGAACGCATCAGAGTTCCCACAATTTTGTTGTTTTAGCTTATCTAATGATTGTTCCATTTAAGGCTTCTTTCTTTTGTTATGAGAAAGTGCATCTATACTGTAGATTTTAACAGCCAAAAGTAAAATTCAGCAGTATCTTTCTGAGATTATTTCATTAGACAAAGACTTGAACTGGCCCTTTCATTTTGTGGTTTCTTTGTTGGTCATTCTTATATTGAATGTAAACACCGAATTGATGCTTGCTACCAGGAAAGCTGCTACCTAAACGCTAGTTTTATTACTGAAGATTACATAATAACAATTCTTCTATTCACAATGAGATTTCTTATTTGAAGCTGAACTTACTTTTAGGATCTCATCTAGATGTGTAATTCCTTGGTCCAATTCCTGGAATTCTTTAAACTGTGCTTTATGAGGTTCAAGAGCTAATAGAAGCCCCTGAAATGCTTCTTCTAGACTTCCATCAACACATGATTTATAGCCTTCAGATTCTCCACTAATTGATCCCTCACAATGACATTTTTCAGGTGTCATTGGCCCCTCTCCAGATGTCAGTCTTTTAACCAGCTGCTTCGTGATATTGCCTTCAAAGGTATCCAGCTCTACAGGTTTGACGTCTGATAATTCATCTGTATCCTGAATAAGTGGCTCTGAGACATTACTTGCTAAAATCACACTGTTGCCTCTCAAATGAGGAGAACTTTGGCAAAGCTCAGAATCTAGATTTGTGGTCATATTTTCACTATGTATTTGTGATGTTAAGTTGTTGGATTCAGATATGGAGTCTTCACAGCTTGAATGAATATTGTGCACACTGTCAGGTTTGGATAAACTTATGCCTGGGGTTGTGGCAATAATTTCAGGATTGGAATTATCTATGGTAGAAGATGAGTCTGTTGAACTATATGATGTAGTACAATGTCCACTGGTAATGTCATTGAAACTGAAAGAAAACGAGCTTTTCTCATTTTTTGCTGTTCCATTTTCAAAAACATCATCTGGTAAATTTAACTGCAAATATAATAAAAACAGTTAAAATTAAAATTTCACCAAGTTTTAAACAAAGCTGATGTTAAGCATTATTTTTTAAAAAAAGACACAATTTGCTTCTATGAAATTATTTGGAACTATGAAATAAATTCATTTAGCTTTTATGCTACTGATCTTTTCTAAAATGATAGGAAGATATTTAAAAAAAAAAACCTGTCAAAAAGCCAGAAGATAAGAAGGATCAGAAATAGTCTAGAATGTGTACAGAAAAGTTCTAAAACTATTATGATGCTTTTTGAGCATTGCAAACTCATTATCTTTATGAACAAATTAGAGTCTTTTATTTTGCTGACCAGATTTTATGTAGAGAAAATAGGCTGAAGAAACAAAATGCACACCAATAGAACGTCATATGTCATTATATAATTGCATTACAGTATAGTGGATTATACCATATAGCAGGGCTTTTCAACTTTTTCACCCATTGTACCACTTTTAGGATATGACAGTATCCGAGTACCACCAGTAGCAAGGTGTCAAAAACGTGATGACCCAAAAAACCAAACCAAAACAAAACTGATGAAGTACAGATAGTCCTCGACTTACAACAGTTTGCTTAGTGACTGTTTGAAGTTACAATGGCACTGAAAAAAGTACCCCCCAAGCCACAGCCGAGCCAGACACCTGCCTTCCCACCTGGCGGTGCTCTTCCTCCTGTCCGAGGTTTTTATTCCCCCCATCTGCTGGGTGGTTGCAGCAGGTTTTGGTTACTTCACATGACCCTTGGACACTGTGACCATCATAAATATGAATCAGTTGGCAAGCATCTGAATGTAAATCATAAGACCCTGGAGATGCTGCAACATTCCAGCTGATTGGTGCTTCTTCTGGGCTCAGCAGAAGTGCCAGGATCAGCGCCGAGCTCCAGCTGGAGCCTGGCACTGATCCTGGCACTTCCGCTGAGCCCTGACAGCCCTGCAGCTCCAGCCATCTCTTGGCTCAGGCTTGTGCGGTGCTGCCACCGGTTCAGCTCATTCCCCTCCCCCGCTACCACTTTTCTAGGATGGTCGCGTACCACCTGGCAGGTGCAAATGTACCACAGGTGGTACCTGTACCACTGGTTGAAAAGCCTTGCCATATAGTATACTGAACTATATGATGTATAGTCCTTTTATTCAGCAATGCTGAAATATAGAAGTTAAACATAATTTCTCAAAGATAATTAAGTAGTTTCAATATTGCAGCCTGAAATCAACGGAGATAAAGTGTGAATTTTTCACTTTAGATTGCATCCAATTTATTTTCTTAGTCTCCTGCCAAAAAATAATTTATGGACAAATATCAAACCATGTGCACATATAAATATGCCCATAAAATATTTCAAATAATAAGTGCTTTCTTATTTTAGCCTTTTCTCTAAAAAGAATTTGCAAAACTAAAGCCAGTCAGAGTTTTATTTGACTATATAAGCAACTTGAGCCAATAGTTACTTGCTAAATAAATAGTCAGCAAACAAGCTAGATCTTAAAGAAAAATATCGGATTTAGGACATGCATAAAAATAGAGGAACTGCTTAAGAAATGCAGTAAGATATTTTATCACACCATCTAGATTCACATATTGTTCTAGCCCTGTTCTAGACCTCAGCCTGAGAGATGACAGATCACTAAATGAGCGACTGCAACGTAGTTTGTCAAAGAAAGCATCTTGCAGAGTCTCTAAAATGGCAGAGTGGAGACTGTCTTGTGGAGGATGTCGCCATTTCTTGAAGTGTTAAGGCAAAAAATGGGGCAATTAATTCATTACATCATCTTTTAAATATACTGTAAGTGTACAAAGTATAGACTGATAAGAAAATTTAGTGCAATTCTTCAGAACCCAAGCACACACTAAATGAGTTTTTATGGAAGCTTCTCACACCTAAATGATCCTTTATCTATAAGGGGAAAACATTACACCTTCTTTCCTAAAAGAAGAAGTGGGTGGGATCTACATTAGCCATATAATATATGGAAAGTTCTTTTCATCTATAGAATCTTCCCCACTGGATCAGGGAATAGATTAGGGATAGAAAAGATAACCTTTGCCTATTATCCTTTTCCTTTGTCTCTCTTTCTGTTACCTCCAACAAAATTGACCAAACCATGCTACTTTGCCACTAATTGTTTTTGCTATTACTTACAAAGAATGACTGATCCTTGAAAGTTGGTGTTTCTGGAGTGCCTTGACTATAAATGGACATCCTTCTTTGAATAGCTGACGCTTTGTTTGTGTTGCCTGTTGATGGGGTAATGTCCTCCACATCAAATGGACTGCAAAAGTATAAATCTATTATTAGACTGAATCATCATTAAACCATTATTCTGCTGAATTACAAGGTTTTCTTTTCACTTAAGATATTACAGCACAAGCAATTCAGCTTTTTTCTAGTGAAGTTCTGCACAATGTAAAATTGATTCACAAAATAGCATCCTTGTATATATTCTCATTTCACATTTTCATATCAGAAGAGTGCAAATATTCTGTGGGTACCATCTCAAAAGTTAATCTAAAATACCATCTAGCTCCTTAAAAACTCTGGTGTGCCAGTTCAGTAGAGGTATATCCAATAATTTTGTTTTCTTTGCTGTTGTTATTGGAACAATAGTTGATTTGAAATGATGATGCTCTCCAGAAAACCAGCTTTACTTACTGCCAAGTGATTTCCAGATTCAGCTTTATTGTGCCAAGGTCATTGATATCCACAGCGACTATCTGAGGCTGAGCAGCAAATAAATCTTTCGTTTCACAAGTAACACTTCCAACCAAAATATGAGTGGCAAGACCTTTAACTTCTGTGACCTTTGGAATAAATTATTAGTGTTAATAATTAGGAACAAAATGTCAATTAACAGCTCATTATTTCAGTAGCATCTCCAGATATCAAATATTCACTTTTTTTGTATTCTAATCCTTCTAAGACCACACTGTTTGTTCAGTAGAGTAAGAAATACTCGGACTTATGTGTTATTATTGTGTACAATTATGTGAAAATTATAAGGATACTAAAAAGATTCAGATTTATATTTCATACTTGCATGGATGGTATTTTATTTTGTCATAAAACAGAAAGCTGCAAACCACTGATAAATTTAGCTCAGTTTTCTTACAATATATTACTAATGATGCATTATTTACACAGTTCAGAGTCATAAAAGCTAATAATAATTTATTTGTGGGAAAGTTCGATGAATGGATGAGGAAGTAAGACTAGGGGAAAAATCTAGTATGTAAGACTACAACATAAGTAAAGAGTGCCAAAAAGTACTGTTTTTAAAAACTGGATTTTATACAAAATAATAATAATAAATGGTCGTGAATATGACATTAATTATTGTATTAATGACTACCATTTCCAAAACATTCACTCCATTTCTGACTCCTCTTTCACTAACCCTGTCTGACTTATCTACCAGAACAATGGCATATAAAAATATTCCTCTTTACATGCAGATGATATAGTTGGCAAATAAAAACCTTAATCTCTTATGGCACCATTAAAAGTCATTGTTCTTTTAATTGTCACTGAACAAAAATTCATAAACGTATTATTTTAATTATTAATAGTGATGTGCCACTATATTGTTAATACACATGTAGCTTTTTCTTCTGTTAATTAGTCTGATACAATAAAATAGTTTGAAAGAAAAAAAAAGTATAAATTGCATAGTCTTTTTTATACTGAAATAAAAAACACTAAAAGTATCATTTTAAAAAATGGAAGGAAGTTTGTCTTTATTCATTCAGTTGAAAGGGCTTACTTGATTAGGCACATTTAACATTTTATTACTTGATCCTTTAACATTTAATACTTCATTTAAACATTCAACTGAAAAGCATCATCTTTGAAATAATACATGAAACTTCTAATTGTGCTCTCTAATGCAGACAGTCTTTGACTTACGGTGGGTCACTTAGCGAGGATTCCGCCCCCCCCCCATTTTAAAAGGATGACAGCCACTTAATGACTGCTGCAAAAAAATGCTGAAAAAAATAGGGCTAGTGACTCACTTAACTACCACAATGACTTACAACCGTAATTCTGGGCTCAATTATGGTCATAGGTCAAGGACTATCTGTACAGAAAAGCAAATTCCCAAGTCCAAACCTCTTGAAAATTACAGTAAACTGATCCACATAAATGAAGCTACAAAGCACCTAATATCCTCTCCTGACTAGTGTTTTTCTCAATGGAATTTCACAGTAACATATGTAGATGCATGCGAAATATTATCAATACATTCAGTGAATCAAAGCAAACCAGAATGCCATTGCTTATTCTCCATATAGATCAATATTTCTAATGGAATGCATTAGTGGCTTTAAGGAAAGAGGAGAGATGCTGCCTAGGAAACAATTCAGATAAGAGAAGCAGGAGCTTCTTAATCACTTAAGAGCACAAAAAGAAACTGAGAAAAGACCTGCCCTCATAGCTCAGGCAGTCAAAAATGGCAGGTGGGAAGTTTGTATTTTGAGATTTACAAGGTTCTATTAATGTAGCCTTACAATAAACAGAATTACTTCATCTAGTCCTGCTTCCTGTCTGATTTACCTGAGAGGGCTGACAATATTACAGTTATATTACAATTATATTTAGGAAAGCTGAAAATCCATTTCTTTTCTAAAGCCTTTAACTGTTAATTGATTTTAACTCCATCGATTTTGAAGTCATCTTTTATATTTGCATTTTGTTTTAACTATTGTAAACAGAAAGGCAGGCAATATATTTAATAAGTAAACAGTAGATCAATACCTTAATGGAGATTAGCCCAGCAATAAGGGGGAGGAAGATCATTTCTTCTCCATCCCAACTTTGCTTATCATTGACTTCTATTTTGCCTTTTAGTTTCCATCTTTGACGACCATACCTCATAAATATCTGTGAAAACAAAATGTGATCTTACTGATCATGTTCATACATACTTTGTTCTCATTTTACCATTCTGAATAGATCACAATGAGTAAAGATCCCAACAGAATTAATGATTTTGCTACAATGTATTACAGAACCTGGTTATGTTTTGGATTGGAAAATAACACAAATCATATATTTCCAAGAAAAAACTGAAGAGGATTCTTAGTACATCACTCTAGAACATCACAAAGAAGAAAAAAAGAGTCACCTCAAAGTGAGATGGGCTACAAACAAATCTAATGCGTAAATAAAAAATAAAATTACACAAGGTTAGCATAAATATTATTTTATGAAGCATTACAACATGATGCATAAATGCAGAATCACAAAGTATTCAGACTAGAGATATGACTTTGTTCTTGTTCTTTGTTCTAAATTTCCACCTTACTACTTGTCGGTAAGATAAAATATCTGTCTTTGGAGGAAAAAAGGGCAGCCGACTTTAACTATTGATCTGCTCTACTCAGCCTGTCGTAGTTAGATTTGAGAGCCACAAGAGGGAAAGGACCTATGCCAAGAATAAAATATTTAGAGACTGCTGACATGCTTCCAAGACAAAACTAAAGAAAGATCTGTTGTTATCTTGCAAGGCATCAATCAGCTCTCTGGGACCAATTTCATAGTCTTTATGTGGGAACTGTTCAGAGTGCATTCATCCATAAACAGAGAATAGTGGGACCTTTCTTGCTGTACAGGACATGAGAACAGTAAGAAATGCATGATGAAAAATGACATTTACAAAGTTACTTACTTCATACTGGTCTCCAGGGCAAAGTCGAGCAAAGCCAGCCAGACCTAGAAGCCAATAACAATTAAAAACTGCTTCAGATAAAATGCTTATGTTTGAGAAGCGTTTCAGATGAAATGTTTGCGTTGTCTCCTTTTATGTTAATGACAAACTCTACAATGTTGCCAGAGCACTTATGAATCTAAGAGAGCAACTTTCAGAGCCCATTTTATTCTTTTCTCTTCATTAATAAAAATGATTGTTTTCCACATTCACCTTCTCTGAAGGACTGAGAATAATAATGACTGAAACATGATTGTTTGCTATTGCAAGAGTTAATATAATGCATGAGAACACCATCAAATTATCAGTATCTACCTCAGTGATGGCAAAACTGCAACCCCAAACCCATTTATGCATTGTCGGGTGCCGGGTGGGTGTGGCCCATTGGCTGGGTGTGGCCCATTGGCTGGGCGTGGCTGCAGTGGTAACGGCAGACTGGGTGGGATTAAAAAGTTCAATCAATCAATTCCAACTTTGCAAGATCTTTTTTTTCCCCCACGAGAAGTTGAAATTGACTCATTGATTGAACCTCTCTTTTTTTACACATGGCAGTGGAGGCCTAAAGCAAAAAGGGGTGACGGCGTGCGTGCCCACAGAGAGGGAGCTGAATGCCGCCTCTGGCACCCGTGCCATAGGTTCGCCACTACTGATCTAACTTCTTGAATTCTGCATGCCCAGTTGGCACAATCTGAGTATTAATGTCTTAAAAAATCACAAATCTCTTTAAAATATAACTTTCTAATTCATATGAAGAAACTAAATTCTGTGCAAATAAGGAATGCATTTAGCTATCCTTTCTCATTTAAAGTAATATCATTCGCTTTATCTTTTTCTCATGTTAACTTTTGGGCAACTCTGTCCCTGGAAATAGATGTCATTATATAGATCTAAAGTGAGCAGAAAAAGAAACTTTTTTACTATGCTTATTTTTTTAAATACATATTAAACCCAATTAATATGGACCTTCTTCTACTTTTAAAGATATATTTAATTCCTTTGAAAGTCCTAGAACTCTAGGCGTGAAATCCTTATATAAACTTGGGGGGGATTCTCCAGAGATGAAGAGAAACCTCAAGAGATGGGAAGAAGAGTTGGGAGTTCTCCTAATTGAAAAATCATCGATTTGCAATTTCTGAGTTGCAAACTATTATCACAGTGTTTTCTCTGAAGCAAAAACTGATTCTATAGTTAATTGGCTCAGCTTCCCAACATACTATATATACCCCACATACTCTGACCAATCCTCAGATTTTTCTTTCCTATCTCTTTATCAGTACAGTTCCTATATGCTTTAGGTCACGGGTGTCAAACTTGATTGCATCACGTGATTTATTGTGACGTATCGCAACATTTTTTTCCTTTGTGGAGTTGGGGTGGGTGTGGCCTGCGCATGATGCATCCAGCTCGCGGGCCGTCAGTTTGACACCCCTGCTTTAGATTGTTAATGTCTTTCTGAAATGTGGCGTTTAGAACTACATTCAATATTCTAGCTCAGTGTTTCTCAACCTTGACCATTTTAAGGCATGTGGACTTCAACTCCCAGAATTCCACAGCCAGCATTGCTGGCTGTGGAATTCTGGGAGTTGAAGTCCACATGCCTTAAAATGCTCAAGGTTGAGAAACACTGTCTAGCTGCAATAGAAAAACCATGACTTTTCTTGACTTAACGCTAAGTATCTATTAAAACTCTCATCTAAGTCTCTCTCCCTCTCTCTCTCTCAAACACACACACATACATAAAACAAATGCTACAGTGAAGGGACTGGGTTTAGCTCTATGGAGCAACAAGGAAATCCTTGGAACACACTTTTTGATCTCTAGGTGGCAGCACTGCCTCATAAATTCTTGTTGATCAATTTTTTTTTTACTGGTTTAGTTTTTTTAAATATTTGTAATGTCATTAACTGCAACTACTTTTTAATCTCAATCAAATGCTTTAGGGGAAGTCTATTAAATAGTATGATAATAGGTGAATGACCCTAGTACTGTACATAATCAAACAGTACAGATGATGATGAAGATGATGATTACAATATAAGGTACCATTCATTTATTTTTAACCAATACCCAATTGTTTCAATAACCATTTTCCCATGCTCACAGCAATCATGAGATGTAAACCTGGTTCAGATGTTTCTTCTTCCCAGACCCTCAATGTTGCAGTTACTGGAACCACTTTAATTTTTAGTGCCAGCTTGTAATAAGGCTTTTTTTAGGGGAGGAAGAGGGTGCCTTCAAGTCAATGTTGACTCCTGGCAATTGTCTGGACAGTTTTATAGTTTTTGTGCAAGATTTCAGAAATGGTTTGCCATTGCCTGTTCCTAGAGTTGAAAGAAAGTGACTGGCCCAAGATCATCCATCTAGCTCTCTCTGTGCCCAAGGCAGGATTAGAACCCATGTTTTTTTGGTTTCCAGCCTGGTGCCTTAGCCACTAGACCAACCTGTCTTTCTTACTTCAAGTCTATGGATTCCTATTCCTTGTAAAGAATGCTGTCTAGCATAGAAGTATAGAATCTGCTTAAAGCCAAACAAGAGAATCAGATGGAATGGTTTATACATCCACCTGAAATGGGGCCTTTTAAGAAAATGGCAGAGGTAACAGCAATTGAGGTGTTTAATAAGCAAGAGGATATGTAAGAAAAGAAGAATGGGAGCAGTTGGACATGTAGCCAATAGTTACAGGTTATCTTCCTCTGGCCTACACAAATTACTTTTCCTTAACTGGCATCAATGGAAAATTAATTTAAATTATACACAAAAGTTTTCAGATTCTTTTGGCACAAACATGGCTTGGGATATGAATCTAATTGTCAGAGTTGGAAACCATGATTTTTCATTAAATCAAGATGTCCTTTAATATATAGTAAATTTCTTAACTGAACAAGGATTTAAAAGAGTGACATATTTGCATCAAAGAAAGTATTGACTGGAGAAACTGAAGTAAGTCTACTCTTTTACTAGGTCTTTTAGTTACGTTATTATGAGATACCTACTTTTTGTTATCACTTTTAAAGCACAAAACGCATGTGTGACTCATAAGCTTATAGTTAAAATTGTTACTATGTTAATAGACAGTGTACTGTTTCTCTAACATATATTCTCACCAATCCTTACTACTGTTCAAATTGGCTCAGGGTTATGGAATACAGGTAGTCCTCGACTTACGACCACAATTGAGCCCCAAATTTCTGTTATTAAGTGAAATATTTGTTAAATGAGTTTGCCCCATTTTACAACCTTTCTTGCCACAGCTGTTAAGTGAATCATTGCAGCTGATAAATTAGTAACCTGGTTGTTATGTGAAACTAACTTCCCCATTGACTTTGCTTATTGGAAGATCGCAAAAAGCGAGCACATGACCTTGAGACACAGCAACGGTCATAAATATGAACCAGTTCCTCTCCACAACAAAAATACTCTTCTGATTATTCAGCAGTACAAAAATAGTTTCTATTTCAGCCAAGAAATATTCATCAAGAAATTCTAGATCACAGACAAAAATAAGAATCAGCTTTCCTGAAACCAAGAACTGTTAATTTACGTGAACTGACTTTCTTTCTACGTCACATCGTATTTATTCAAACAAGAGTACTAAGAGCAAATGAGATTCTTATCCACTTTTTAAAGCTAAAAAGATAAGCTTCCTCCATCTGTGAATATGTTATCACAGTGGTGGTGAACCTATGGCACACATGTCAGAGATGGCACTCAGAGCCCTCTCTGTGGGCACAGGCACCATGCCCTGGAGATGGCAACCGTCCCTCTTCAACCAGCCACCCGCTAACTCGCCAAGTTCCCACATGGCTGGATGGATCCCAGCATGGTTGGTTTCCCTCCTCCCCCCCCATCCCATCCCTCTTGGCCTTGCATGCTCTCCTTTTCACTGCATCGCCTCAGCTGTTGGCCGGCCATCCAGCTCAGAGACAACTTCTCTGAACTGCTGGTGGTGGGCTGCATAGTCCAGTCGAGGGGCTGGCAGGCTGTGGCTGCTGACAGACACTGTCGGCCCTCATGCGCTCGCTGGCTTCTATGTACGGGGGCCAATGGTGTAAGGCAGCAGCTGCCCCGGCCCGTGCCTCGCCTTGCACTGCGACAATGGCACCCCCGCCCTGCCTAGCCTTGCCTCACCCCGCAGGACAAGTCTCCTGCCCACTGGCCCACCTGCCAGAGACCCCCTGGATCTCCCCCAATGCTGCCCGGCCCCCACAGGCGTCCCTCCCCACGAGCAACATTGAGGTGACCACGCCCAGCTTGGTCACACCCACCCAGTCTGCCATGAACACAGCCATGCCCGCCCAGTAAGCCACGCTCACCTGGCACCCAGCGATAAATAAGTGGATTTTGGATTGCAGTTTGGGCACTCGGGTTCTAAAAGGTTCGCCATCACTGTGTTATCATATCTTAAGTCTTTGAGCAGCACTCTAAATCCCAGAACAAAATTATTCTCCTTTGGGTTAAGATCCCCATTCCCATTCTGACTTGTTTAGTATTTATAGACTTTAAACATTTACTAATATTCTGCAGGTGGCTTTTCCTTTTGTTACTTTAATGTTACAGTCTGATTTTTGTTACTTGCCTTTAAGCATATATATATTTCTGAATGAAGTGGGAGAAAACAAATTAAAATGAATAATAAGGAATTTTTCCTTAAGGAACACTGGCTTTAGAAATGCTACCGCATTAGCTTGATATGGAACTGCTCCAACATACCTTAGCAGGTTAACATTCAAAGTTTTATATTTCATATTAAACCATGCTGGGTATTGCTAGGATTAAACTTCTAGTTTCTAGACTCCTGCAATTGTGCCTGCTGTTAGTGTTGACTTCCATTCCTATTCTCAGTGGAAATATATATGTTATCTTTAATGCAATGCATGATTTAAGATAATGCTGAAAGAAAAATGAATCCTCTACAATAACAATATGCTGAGAAGAAAATTATTCATCCTCTTGTGGGAACAGGCCACTCAGATGTCGAGAAACAGATCCTTATGTATTCAGCAGATATCAGAAAATATAGCCTAAATCATTGCATTTCATTTACGGTAACCATAAAAAGTACCATATGAAAAAGGAAAACATCAAAGATAAGTGATATTGCTGAAATTGATATTTTGCATTCTTCTCTTTTCTAGTACATCAAGAAGTGTCACAGACAAATACTTTAGCGAGAAAGCTTCTTAAAAAAAGAAAGAAAGAATTTTATGGCCCTGTCTGCAATTAGAAGTAACTATTTTGGTGGCATTAAATTGAGTATCAAATAAATCTATGTATCCCTTTGGACAATCAACATTTCATAAGTGGATACCTATTGTAAGAAATGCATTGCAATAGGGACTCCCACAGCTTTTCAATTATGAGTTAATTAAGGGCTAGTTAAGATGAGGAGTCTCCATGATTTATGACCGTAATTGTGGGCTCAGTTATATAATCATACGTTAAGGACTACCTGTACAAGTTTTAGATTTTAAATCTTTTTTTGGAATAAACAGCAAAAGGATGATCAGCACTTTTAATTTTGGAAAGTTAAAATAGAGATAAAAGTGCTCTTTTCTGTTTTTGGGGTGGTATTCCATTTTATTTCCCCATATGCAGAAAAAGAAAAAAGAAAAAAAAAGGGAAGGGAAGACAATAGCCAAAGTCTAAAACAAGAACCCTCAAAATATCAACAGATATACAAGGGTCTCTTAGGATGCTCCTAGTTAACAATCTTCAGGCTTTTCTATTGATGTATGAAATTCAACGTATATATGAATTCAAGCAACTTTCAAGGGAAGAAGAATGTTAAATTATAAATTCACAAATTTCTCAAGAGGCGATATTGTCTAAACATGTTTCTGTTCCACTCACACCTATAAATTGAAACAGAAATGTGGATATCTTTAAAACCTAACCAACTGTTTATTCATGCAATTGTTACCATACAGTATGTTCCAGAGGTGTTTATATTTTTAATTAGTCAAATATTGATATCATGTATCAAGAAATATCAATATTTACAATTTCTAGCGATGGAACTTTTTTTTTAATCCTCCGTGTAATAAAATGTATTCAAAGAATAATAACATTTTAAGTATAATTTAGTTTTGAGCTTAAAAGGTATTTTAACCTTTTAACCATTAAGCAAGCCAAAAAACTTTATAACATTTGCTGTAAATGCTTGCCATTTTAATGAACATGAGACATTTTGATTGCTTTAGAAACAAAGCAGAATTATTTGGAAAACTTTATATTCCAAAAGGTGAGTGAAAGAAAACAAACCTCTTATCTGAATTCAACTGTTCTCTCTGTGGCTGTCAGAAACCACACAGAAAGATCTCTTGCTGAGATGTTTGTGTAGAAAATGGCATGAGAGGCAAGATAATTACCTTTCATCTTGATGCAGAACTCCCCCATTAAGTTTTCCAGCTCTCCTTCAATGGCACACAAGTTCTATGTAGGAAAACAGAAGACTAATATCAGATCAACTATTCCAAATGAACTATATAAAGTTACCTTAAAAACACATAGAACTGTGCTTATTGCCACTAATTATAATGCAGTGATTTCTGAAGTAGGCCTTAGTTGAGTTTACAATAATAGTGTGTGTGTGTGTGTGTGTGTGTGTGAGAGAGAGAGAGAGAGAGAGAGAGAGAGAGAGAGAGGGAGGGAGGGAGGGAGAGAATATCAGTGAATTGGACTGTTCCAATGGTGGGATTCAGCCGGTTCGCACCACTTTGGCAGAACTGGTAGCTAATTTTTTGTTGCACAGGCCAGAATGGACTTCCAGAAGCGGCATCCACACAGAGAACCGGCTGTTCACATATCTGAATCCCATCACTGGACTGTTCCCTTGGAAATTATGCCTTCCTGGTTATCTGGGGATCAAAATCCATTAGTTTCTTCAAGATCACTGAGTTTTATTGAAATGAACCATATAGCAACCATTTTTTCTGTCCATGGGTTCAAATATTCCAGAAGGACATTTGAAAAATATGGTGAATAGTTTCTTTCAGTTGCAAAGATACCCAATGAAATACATATACAGGCACTCTTCATACATAGGACTAAGCATTTGCATTAATTTTCACATCAAAGTGGTGTTCGTTTTGGTAATCCTGTTATATTATAAATTATTGTATTTCCATCACATATTATAAAACATTAACTTCATTAAGCAAACATATATCCTAGATATATATTTGATCAATTCTATAACAAAAGTTTTAAGAAACTGATTTCAATTAAAATTACTAAAATAGTCGTGATTGATGCAAAAGCAAATCCTGACTAATATCTGCAGGGATGTTAATATTCCACTTTGAGTTACTGTACTCAAATGTCCTAAAATTCTGTATTCTGGAAGGGGACCTTTGCTTTACAAACTATTAACAGTGCAGTGAATTGCAATGCAATGTTTCGGATTTGATTTTAAAATGGTGCACTGGTCTACAGCTTTTTAAAACTATGGTGCCTTTTCCTGGGATTGTGCAGCATCTGCAAAATGCAAAAGCATTCTTCTAGAAAAAAGATATAGTATTTTTAATGAGTCCCAAATGGCTCCTATAGTCTTGCTTAAGTTTGCTCTAAAGCACTTTTTTGAAATCAGTCCTCAAGTGCTAAAAACAGGCTACTATTTTTATGGCAGAATACACAATGCTGCATAAATGTAATAACTATTATTATAAATAAATTCTATATTTTTTTTTAAAAAAAATCCATAATCTATTTTTTCCATAACAACTGAATCTTTCTATTGCAGTAATTGCAAAATTAAGTAGATCATTTTATACCTCAGTATATTCTTTATAGGTTTTGTTGATTTCTGATAAACTCTCTCGAGCTGCCTTGCTAGCAGGGGACAACCCATACGCTTGCTTCATTTTGCTGGCACCATCACGGAGCCGCCTTTGGATACAGTAGGCTTCAAAGAGTTCATCTACCTGATAGGAAAAAAAAAACAGCAAAATTGAGATGTTGGAGGGGGGGAATCAAAAGAATTATCCAGGTGAGATTATGGTGATTCATAGAAAAAAGCGAGCAAACAATTTCAGTGATGATGGTGTCTTTGTACTGAAAATAAATTATCTATGTAAATGACTCCATTCTCTTGTCTCACAACAACTACTTTTTTAAAATCAATACTTCCACTTTCCCCATGAATAATGGAGGATAATGAACTATTATCATGGTCAGTCATTTGAATTTTATGCAAACATTTTTTTCATTAAAGTTTCTCTCAAAACTAATAGTAATAGCTGTACTTAATAATTTCCCATTCTGATAATGTGATTTAATTCTCAGAATAAGTAAAAGACAGCAATATGCTACTGTAGTCTATTTAAGAAGAAAAGGAGAATAATATTACAACAATATAAGATCTCATTCACAGTACTGAGCAAATACTGGAAATCAAAGCCCGAATGTTTCATTCCTACAAGACAAATTATTACAGATTAATTTTATGCTTGTTTCTTCAGAACAGAGGCCCACTAGGTTTAGTGGCACTAACTTCCAGACAAGAAATAAAAAGAAGTGTGGTTCCGAGAACTATGCATAGAATTGTTCTGTCATTTAAATAGCAAAAAAATCCTTTTGTTCCTTCTATAATACAATATATTTCTTGCAAGACAAAATAACACAATGATCACTTCTTACAGTACATTATGTACAATGACACTTTGATATAAGTAGAAAACGCTTCCACTCACAGGAAGCAAGGGGCTTGATTTTTATTAATTCCCCATTATATTCTAACCTTTTTCTGTTTTTCTAATGATTAGAAGACTTTCTGAAACATTGTAGGATATAATGAAGATATGCAATGAGGGAAAAATATGTAGTAGCTATAACAACAACAACAACAACAACAATAAAAAGTTGGAAGGGACCTTGGAGGTCTTCTAGTCCAACCCCCTGCTCAGACAGGAAACCCATATCATTTCAGACAAATGGTTGTCCACTGTCTTCTTAAAAACTTCCAGTGTTGGAGCATTCACAACTTTTGGAAGCAGGTTGTTCCACTGATTAATTGTTCTAACTGTCAAGAAATTTCTCTTTATTTCTAGGTTGCTTCTCTCTTTGATTAGTTTCTATCCATTGCTTCTTGTCCTGCCTTCAGGTGCTTTGGAGAATAGCTTGATCCCCTTTTCTTTGTGGCAGCCCCTGAGATATTGTAACACTGCTATCATGTCCCCCCTCGTCCTTCTCTTCATTAAAGTAGACATACCCAAATCCAGCAACTGCTCTTTATATGTTTTAGCCTCCAGTCCCCTAATCATCTTTGTTGCTCTTCTTTGTATTCTTTCTAGAGTCTCAACATCTTTTTTACATTGTGGTGACCAAAATTGTATTCCAAGTGTGGCCTTACCAAAGCATTATGAAGTGGTAGTTTCCAGGAACAACAACAACAAAAAAAGTAACTAGATGTAAGGGCACAGAATCCACTTACCAGTATCAGCAGATTTTACATACTAGGCAGACCCAAAGAAACCACTCAAAAAATGAATACAGGAGGCCCTCAACCTACGACTGGTCACTTAGTGACCGTTTGAAGTTACAATGGATTCATCTTGGAGCTACCTATGACCTGATTCAAAGTTCTGATGGTCATGTCTGAACTTTGGGCACTAGACATTTAAGACCATTTGCAGCATCCTACCACCACATAACTAAATTTTATAACAATTTTGCCAAAAACTGACACTTCTAGTTTTAGGCAAAACCGCACCCATAATGAACTATTGGTTCACTTAATGAACATGGTATTTGCTTAACAACCACCGCAAATAACAAAAATCAACCATTCGGTTTTATAACTATTATGACTTACAACCATACTATGGCCATATGTTGAAAAATTACCTGTACCAGCTCAATAGAAATGAAAGGATATATAGTTCCATATATAATAACATATATCATATAACGTATTTCTCAATCTTGCCAATTTTAAGATATGTGGACCAACTCCCAGAATTCCCCAGCCAATCATGTGGGATAGAAACATAATAAATAAACAATGCTTGCCTGCCTATCTATCTAATAAGCAATATGATACCGATATAGAAAAGGCAAATAAAACCTATAAAGACATATAAAACACCTGCATGAAGAAAAACTTTGACAAAAGACGGGAGGAACACTTCTGTTAGAGTCAGATCTGGAGAAAGAGCAAGGAAATGATGATGTGATGCTCCTACTACGTTTGTGTTGAAAAATTATTTAAATAGATGGAACATTACGTGCTAATGCTTTTCATTTATGAAAAGGCTCTTCAGTTTATAAAATGTCAGCCCTACACTTATCAAATGGGCTGCAAAAATTTAGACTTCTCAATATAGAAACACTAACTTTCTGGTGCTGTCTATCGGCCATTTGGATTTTAACAGCTCAGTTATGGTAGCCGGAAACAATTCAGATCCAGCAGCAGGATATATTTATTGAAAAATGTGTAGATTCCTATAAGATACAGATGCCTATAAATAAACTCCCTGTAACAACCAAAATTATTATCTATTGGTCTAATATGGCATCTGAAGATCAGAGTACCTGACCATAATATTCATCATGTTACAGTATTTATGTCTATTAACAAGACTGCTGTATATGTAACACAAAACAGTACATTTTTTCCCCTTTCAACTTGAGCAGATCTACCACAAACGCATCTGTGACATTCAAAAGCTGTCATGACCACATTTCCTTCCTTTACTTCCCTTTCAAAACTTAAACTCAGGTCCCAACTTTCATTGGAAGGCTAATGCACATTGCTTGTCATAGTGATCAAAGTTGTGCAACTTTCCTTGAAATGTTTTCAATTACAATAGTTCGTGTTTTCTTCTAAAAACCTTGCTTCACATAAAGTTCTCCATGTTTGTTACCATGGGTTACAGAACAACAAGCTAACATACTGTGCAATTTGGATGTGGATTTAGCTCTGTAGCAACTCAGTCTTATGTAAAACATTGAAATCACTTTGTTCTGAGTAGGAGGGATTCAAACACAAAGTACCCACCACACGAGCTTGCTAGCAGGAAACATACTATTTCAGATTTATTTTCTTGATGAATATTTGATTTATGAGCATAAAATAAATAAGAGGTTTATGTTCTGAATGTTCCATAAAAGAAGGTAGAATTTTTAAAATGTCACAAGATAATTCTATACTGTTTGACATCTACTATTATAGAAAAAGAGAATATAATCTAAATGCAGGTCAGCCTCATGCAGCAGCCTTACAGCTAACTTCATTTCAGTTACATGCACCATTTTCAAAATACAAATGGCAGCAATAGAGACTCATGTCCTAAAATATGGCCTTCAGCAATAGGCACTCAGAATGACTATTGAATAAAGTGCTTTATTGCACTTAGTGGTGTGAAAATTTTTATTGTACAAATGAAGGAGTAACGAATCTCTGAATATGCCTATGTGATTCCATGCACACACAAATATTATGTATCATGCAAATACAGATAGGGAGATAAAGAATTATTAATAGGGGATGACCATTCATAAAGTATTGTAAATATTCTGATAATAAACAGAATTGGATTTTTTTTTCCCCTAAGGAAAAAGAAATTAAAAGCTCAGTTGAAGACAAGGTTTCTGTCAAAAAGAAATGTTCCATCTAGAAATGTGTTTATCCTTCAGGCAGGGAAAGATAAGGCTGTTAATAGTACATTAATTCTATTATCTCACCTCATTTCCTCTTGTTCCAGGTCAGTTTGACACAGATTTGGTAAGAATGAAAACACCTTCAGGGACATCGCAACTTCCCTTACAGGCTATACTAGTGTCTTCTGCTCATTTGCATAAGATTACTTCTCAGCCTTAATCTAAAGAATTGCTTTGTGAGATGTTTTCTCTAGACCACCAGATACAGTATTGCTGGACAGGCTTTTTTGAAAAACAAAATTGGAAATAGAATGAAAGGAAGTTAATTACCTTACTGATATGAAACTCTAGCTTTCTCATATATCTTTCAATTGCTTTCATTTGCTGAAAAATAAAACAATCAAAATAAGAACAGATATCTGAATTTAGCTGAATCAATGCATACTTTTCCGTAATGTCTAATATTCTCATATAAGACCGATTTGATATTCAAAAGGAATTCAGACTTTCCTTGAAAAGTGAGAAGCTTCAGCTCCATCTGGACCAAGAAGAGACCAGAATTAAAGTGCTTTTAATTTCATTCTAAATTTACAAAATAATCACTAATGGTTTGGGACAAAACAAGTCTTCCCAGTTCCATTAGATGTATCTCAAGTTACTATATAATAGGATTCCAAACCACACTCTCAATCAATATTTTATGCACATGCTGAGATGTCCCTTAGGCAAGAATGTTCAAATCACTTTATTTGAAATTGATTTTGTGGAGTGAAAGTTGTGTTTGCAAAATAAATGGAGGACAAATGATAGATAGGATTTCTTGCCCTGTGAGTCCTCTGACTAATGTGATGCCATGCGGCAGCCTTCTCCAGCTTTTAAGATGTGTTGGGACTACAACACCCACAATTTCCAATTATCAAGTAGATGTTTCTTTGCTACCGTACAGAACTGAGGTTGTTTGTCTACTGAAATATAGTTATTACAAATCACTTACCTTGTCAAGTTCATATAGCACCCCCTGAAATAAATGAAATGAATATATTACTAAAAATAAGATGCTCTTTCGATGAAGAAAACATGATGGTTTTAAATGTAGTGCCCTAATATAATTGAGCCAAAATGAATCAACTGCAATAAATAAGTATCATTTTAAAAGTGACATTTTTTTACATACAGTCCAGGGTAAGAAGAAATAGGGAAACACAAATTCAGTTCTAAATTTTTCAGAAAACTTTTACATGCAAAGACATAGACAAACAGATAAAATGGCTTCATGACATTGTTGCAATCACTCATGTAAAGAGTGAACTCTGGTCCATGCTGTCTAAAATAGGGGTCCCTAACCTTTCTGGGTTGGTGGCCCAGTGGGAGAGGGAAGAGCAGGTGCCTTACGCATGCATGCGCAAATGTGAATGTGGTCACACAGATGCACGCATAGTGCACAAACAGGTCGTGAGCATGTGCACCACGCAAATGGAGCTGTGAGCATGCGCTGAGGCCAGACCTCTGAGTGATGCCAGACCTCTGTGAGGCTTGTGCTGCAGCCTGCAGTGATGCTGCCACTGGCATGAGGATCGAGCTACTGCCCTTGTACAAGGATCGTGCCGCAGCCTGCCTGTTGTTTGCGGCCCGTGCAAGGTTCGTGGCAATGCCATGCCTACGTGTGCCGCCACCCGCACAAGGTTTGTGGCAATGCCACCACCTGCGTGATACTAGTGGTGCTGCTGCCCACAACTCATGACAACAGTGGCATGGGGGGGGGAGGTGAGCATGTGTACACGTGCACTGCCCAGCTATTCACGCAGGCTAGTGGCCATGGCCTGTTAGTGGGCTATGGCCCATAGGTTGAGGACCTCTAGTCTAAAACATATTTAATCTAAAAAACAACAACCATAATTGTCTATTTTGGGGAAAGTGGTTATAATAACTAATTGGAGTACTGTACTTAGATTTTACAACTAGATTAATTATCTTTTTTCCCAGTTTTTTTCTCTCACTTTGCAAAAGTCATTAATATACAAAAATGATATGCATTGTTCACTAACAATGGCTTGTGCAGTAAATGCTGAAATAGTATGATACAGATCTGGGGGGGGGGTTTAGGGGGAAACATATTTGTGAAAACAGAGATCTGATATATCACCATCCTGGCAATATGGGGATATTTACAATCAAATGCCTGAAGTGGCAGAATATGCATTATATTTGTTATAAGGCATAATTAGCCCTTAATTTCATATGCAGCATCCCAACATTAAAACCCAATTCTTAATTTCCTTGCTTAGTACAGAATTCTCTACTGTTCTGAGTAGACAAGCATACCAGCCGTGAATTTCTTTTCATGTCTTTCAAGTGAGCACTTAATTTATCCAGTTCTGTTTGATGTATTTCCAAATATTCACTGTAAAGAAAATCCAAAATTGAAACATCAGCAATGTTATATTCCCATATAAATCTAAATAAATAAAATGCAAGTTTTTAAAGATGAAGCATTATTTTTATAGAGTAAATATGTCTGAAATAGTTTTACTCATAAATGAGTTTATTTGTGGAAAGGAAGACAGAAAAGTCAAATTTTACAGATGTGATTTATAAAATGTAAATAAAAATTACTGATATGCATAAAACTTTCTCAGAACTGATATGAAACATGAAAGTAAGACATTTTGAAAAGCAGGCAACTTAAGTCCCCCCAAATTTGTATTCTTCCTTGTTATACACACAACACAAACATATGAATGTAAAAGACAGAAACATTTTATAGGTTTCACTATTTAAAAAACACAGTAATTAACACAATGGACATGCCATGCCATTCTTTCTAGTTTTCAAAGACAACTGATAAAAGCCCTACATAACACTACAAACACTACATAACCCAATCCCTAAAGTAAGTTGACCAACAGTTAATTAATATCACTGGGATGAAACATGCCACTGTTAGAAACAGAATTTCCTCATTATCATTACAAACCATGCTAAGTGCAAGACATTAACATAGCATGCCATAGCCCCCAGATTTAAACACAGAATAATTTGGACATCAGCTGAAATAACAAAAGATTTAGATTCTTGTAGCTATTATGCACAAAAGATAAAAGGCATCTGTTGGACTGAAACAATCCAGATGACTAAACACCTATGGGTTGTGCAAATCAGTCCTTAGGCTATCAACCAACCAGGTACTTTTGCTGGTTGGAAACTGATTAGCTATCTTTGACATCAGTAGATAAGCTCTTGTTTATCACACAGAACTGATTTTTTTTTCCTTTTTGAGCAATACATCCAGCAGTAGTAAAAGCTCTTACTCTAATCCATTCTTCAAGGCCTTGTAAACTTCCTCCATTCTTTCAGGCTGTGGCTCCTTAGCAGAGCTGTTACTTTTGTGCCCCAAATGATGTGCTTTTTTCACCTTGGCTTGGGGTTTTTTGAGTGCAGGGGAATTCTCAATAAAGGAATTACATCTGCAAAATGAAAATTGAAACAGTTTTGCCTAGGAAACAAATATATTAAATGTGGAGTATTATAATGTTTTCTCAGCAGCATTTCTTAATGTTTCCAAGCAAAAAACTTAACGTTGCCTGCCAGAGAACTAAAAGATAATGGGTTATGAAGCCACTGTGGTAACTGGCTAGTCAGCAACAGATATTTAATTTGCTAACCAGTCCAGTGCTTTTATCATTCAATTTTATTCATCTGCACTGTGACCCACTGCAAAGATTTAGTGGAAGTAATAACAAATTAAAATACACCATACATATTCAATAAAATGAAGAAGCTTGATGAATAGCTATTATTTGTTTGGTCACTTACAACAGTAAGTAGCACCATGGGCTTTAGCAGCCATTAGCCATTTTAATTAATTTTCAGGCAAAATGTAAATTATTACAAAACAACAACATGATCTCAGTGAGCTAAGCAACTCTGAATCTGCTTATCTCGTTTGAATTAAACTTGTACAGGGACATTCCCTAGCAGCTTTAGCCAGCATCAAGTTTAATCCCTGCTGCAAAATGCAGCCTAAGAAAACAAGGATTTATAATACTTCTATCAAAAAAAGCGAAACAGTTTTAGTATTAATGGAGGATCACTTATATTAAAAAAGCACAGTACATGAAACATTGAATTTCTCAAAAAAAAAAAAAAAAAAACGAAACCCCCCCCCCAAAAAACCAAAAACAAAACCCCAATATAGACGTCCCTCAAAAGACAGGGCTGGTTTGCAGGTTTGAAAATTCATTAGGACCTCCTTGCAAAGTGATTGGCTGTAACAGGCTGTAGCCATGTTTCTGAATCTAATCATCATTATATATTTCCCTAATGCATACACATTGTGGGATATCTAATATGCTCAGTATTAAACAGAGAATTACATTTAATAATGGAGACTTATTCATATTAATGTATTTATCATCTCAGCTTTATGAAATATTGCTGTAAATTGTTACCATGACCCACTGTATGACTAATCGTAAAAAGAATCAAAATATCTAACAAAGCAAATGGTTTGACTCAATGTTAAGTTATTATTATTTATCTTACTAATGTTAAGTTATTATTATTTATCTTACTATGGAGGATGGGGAAGAAGCTGTTTCATTTTCACCCCTCCTTTCCATTCCATCCTGTAGAACTGATGGAACTTACTGGAGTAAAAGAGGAGATCCAGTCAATCTTTGATAAAGCTTGTCTACTAGTTGTTTAAGTGGCTATTTTGATCACAAACAGATTGTCAGATTTACAACAGAGGCAGAGATAACCCCGAAATGAGAACAGATCTCCAGAGCCAAAGTGGTTGAGATATGTGAGCTTTTCTTCAGTTTACAGCTGGCCTTTGGAGATGATACTTGCCTGGATCGTCTTTCTTGAAGACCACTGAAACCAGCAAAGGATTGACTTCTAATGATCCCATTAGGGCCTCCTGGGGAGAATGAATGAGATCCTATTGACATGATTTCTGGGGATCTTGAAGGTATTTCTGGAAGATACAACAGTAAGAATGTCAGCCACAATGGTAAGGCACAAGTGGGTTTAAATCAAGTCCTAACTATCTCTAATAAAAAGAGAAATGATATAACATTCACGTAATTTAATAATAATTGTTAGGGCTTGATATTATATTCAAGTCTCTGAACGTTGACAACATAGTACACTGTATGTACACTACCATAGTCTAATTCGGCCTGGGACCAAAAAATGTGTTTGTATTAATGTGTGAAAATATATCATTTTATTTCTGTGGATTAATACATTCAGTTGTTCAATAGCATTTATATTATTGATCAATGGCATATCCAATGCCCCCCCCTAGAAAGAATAAAAACTAAGTCCCTACATTATTAGATTAAGAAATCATAAACTAGAAATTCAAACTTGGCAGATTATTTTGCTTAAGAATCTTTACAACCATTAAAGGTAAAGCAAACCACCCTAAACAAGATTAGGATAAAACGTAGACCTAGGTGCTAAACAGAGAACTATGTAGAATTATACAACAGGATTTTTTATCCCCTGGTATTAAGAAAGCAGAATTCTTTTCTTTTTTAGAAACTTAGAACTATGACATTAAATGTAAATAGTGACTTTCAGAAGTTATTTACATGCTTACTTAAAAGAAAACAATCATGGTAGGTATATATAGGACTGTGACATTAGTAAACTATAAAACATTTTCATTTCTGGAATATGCTGAGAAAGGAACTTAATTATATACTTGCTGAGGAAAAAATTATGGAGAGAACTTAACCAAACTTAAAAAAAACAATACAGAATTCCCAAACAATTGATAACTAACTCCCATTTGACACAAAATTTATATTAATCTCGTGAACAACATCAGACAAGAACTCTTTCCATGCAATATATCTATACTTCTAACCACAGGCTGTGAAAGAAAAAAACTAAATCACTCCTTAGTCTGGCATGACCAAACAAAGTTAAGATGGCAGAAGCAGGCCATGCAATCAAAGCCCAGCCTTTTTTTCATGTACATTGCATGGATGAAAAAAGGGGCAGAGCTTTGGTCATGACTGCCATCTTGGCAACTGAGATGGAATTCTAATGATTCTATCTTCACAATTGTTGCTAATGACAGGGATCTAGTCCTATTTGGCTCTGCCTGGCGTAGAAGATGTAGTATTCATAAAGAGAAATGATGGAGAAATATGATGATTCTGCTAGCCTGGAACTCCTAAAAACAATCTAGAGGGGTATCTTTGTGTCAGAGCAACATGAAAGATGGTACATGGATCACCATCCACCCGTTTCTGCACAAGGGGTGGCGCATAGATAATTCCTCAATGAAAAGCAAAGAAGTAATGGTATTTTATAGATAGAAAATAAAATAAAATCTTAAAGTACCTGTACTGAATGCATATTTCTTTGGGCATAGAATAATAGAACTGGAACTTTGTAAAGACGGCACTGCTGCTATCATTCAAACCATATTCATTTAGAGATGTAAGAATGCAAAATCTAAAAGAACCTATAAAATGTAGGTTAAAGACATCAAGGATAAGCCTGATTACCACTGTGACTGTTCTAAAATTCAAATGCAACTTTTATGACAGAAGCAGCATTTTAAAATGAATTATATAAGATATCTCTCAAAGATGTTCCTAGGACAGCTGATACTAGGTTTTTCTGAGATTGTCAACATTATTTTTTACTATTTGTATAATAGATAAATTCTTATTAGTATATTACTACCGTATAATATACTTACCATATTATTATAAATCTATTAATCATGCTATAATTCAAATTTACAATCTACTTTTGATCTTAAAATAGACTAAAATGGATAACTTTTGGAACTATCCTATTTGTAAGACTATAGATTCCTATATCTACTCAATTTGAATTCCCAACAGATTCCAAATATGAATGTAAGTTAGTGTCACAGTATGTCACATTAATGGTGACTGAGCTGCTGCCTGACTTATTTGTGGAGCATCTCTTAAACATTTACTGTACATGGATTTGTTAAGAAAAAAGAGCTTAGAAATATTATCAGCAATAGAAGTTCAGTGGCAAGAACCTTCTACAGCACATAAAACAGCAGAAGGATAGGTTGTTAGTCATGGAGAGTTAAATTGCATATGGTAAGCTGCTTCACAGTCAAAAGCCTCTTACTGTCAAAATAAAATAAAACAATGCCAACATCGTGTGATCCATCATGTTCTTGTTAAAGCACATAAAGAACAAGAGGCTCATAGTTGTTATGAAGTGGATATCTGCCAAACTGAAGCAAGATGGTTGCAAGATAATCAGCGAAAAATCATTAGAATAATTTATGTACAGGAAAATAAAGGAACTTAATAAAAATAAAAATGATTTAATAATTGAAGTAATTATCAACATAAAAAACATAAAAAAGACAAGAGCATACATATATTTGCATACATATAATGTAACCTCTAATGTCCTATCTCATCTACGTCTTAATATTTTTTTTAAAAAAATTAATATTATGGCTGTTGTACAAACTTTACACTTAAGTATTTAATTTTTATTTTTTCTTAGTCATTATATTAAATCTTATCTTTTGAATTTTCAAGACTTAAATTCTTGGTAATCTAATAAGTTAAAGGAGTCATTTCATAAAGACAGGACCTGCTCTTGAAAAGAAATCTCCAATATAGAAACCTCCAAGTAATTTCATCAGTCAAAATAAAAATTAGTTAGGCAGAGAGTTGTTGGAATGTACTAACTCTTGCTATACCAACTGCTGGGATTTCTCCCCAAAATATATTTCAATATGTCAATGAAGACTGATGAAGTTACTTGGATGAGTAACAAAATGTCTCATTTTAAAACTTGCCATAATTTAACATTTTTAGATACTTTTAGCCTGGATGATTGAGTCTTCATTGACATATTGAAATGCATTTTGGGGAGAAACCCCTGCAGTTAGTATGGCAAGAGTAGTACATTCCAACGATTCTCTGACTCTCTGCCTAACTAATTTTTAATTTTGATTGATGAAGTTACTTGGATGAATAACGAAATGTCTCAGATTAACAAATATTGTTCCAGTTACCATGATTTAATCTTTTTAGATGAAACCTCCAATATTTTTTTCAAATCATAGGAACAGAGTTTGAACATAATTGGTCTACAAATTGGCTCCCTTCGCAGCTCTGCCCACATAGCCATGGGAGAGTTGGCAGCTCGAGGTACAGCAATGTGGTCTTCGGAGTGCCCCCACTGCCAGCCCTGGTATAACTCTCCTGTATGGGCAGAGCCGCGAAGGGGGCCAGGGGGCCGAAACCACCCACCCAGGGACAATGCAGAGAGCTTACCACCAGCTTCCATAGCTGCTGCCATTGAAACCATACAATACTGGTGGCGAATGGGGAGCAGGCAGCATGAGGCGGCACTGTGGAGCCCAAGCAGCAGATGGAGGAGGAGGTGGCCAGTGAGCAGGTAATCTGTGGGGTGGGGTGAAACGGGGGTGGTGGGGACCGAAGAAAGCCCCTCCAGCAGTTGACACAGCTGTTATGCAGTGGCGATGGAGGCCTTTTGCTGTCACTCCCCCTGGCTCTGAAATGGCGGAGGGGGACCAGGTAAGGGGACTGAGCCTCCAATGCCCATCTTCCGTAGTGTGGCAGTCTGGCTCAGGAGGGGAGTGAAAGGGAAGAGGTGAGTGGGCAACCGGGTCATTGAACGAGCGGGAGGAGGTCACCGAGTGGGGAGTGGCCTGGCTGTGGAAGCCCTGAGGGGTGTGGGGTGCATGGGGCAGCTCCACCCCCTACCTTCCTCACCTTGTGTGTGAGCCCCAGCGTGCAATAGTGGCCTCCTGCCCTGTTGCAACAGCGAGCAACCAGATGGTGGGACAGAGTGGGCAGGCTCTTAACTAGGGCTTATTTTGGAGATAGGGCTTATATTAGGCGCCCGCTAAAAATCATGCTAGGGCTTATTTTCTGGGTGGTCTTATTTTCGGGGAAACATAGTAGCTGGTAGGTTAGTTCCCTACAGGGAAATAATGGCATTCCATGTCTGGAAAAGTCCTGGCGCTTCACTACGCTTACCCTCATTGGTGCAGCCTCTAAGCTTATCTGTGTATGGTTGGTTGTTCATTTACACTAATCCCAGTCCAGACAGCTTCTCTAGAATTTCATTTCTCAGAAACTTCTCAGTAAATCAAGGAGCATCCCAAGATCAGCACACAAAGAAAAGCCATAGAAGGAGAACCCAGTCTAGTATCTTTGTCATCTCTATATTCCAGGGATATATTCCTCTATATTCCACAATCTGGCAAACTGATGCTTAACGTGGACCATCTCCCAAAGAAGTTGATGTTGACCATGATTAAGGTATGTACCTTCATATTACATTCTCCCTTCTCCAAATTAAAAACAGATGAAGTCTGTAATTTTTGATAGATGTCAGGCCCATGCTGATGTGAAATAAGACCATGGTAGTCATGGAGACCATGGAATCCCAAACCACTCCAAGCATGGAGGGGGGCTGATTTTAGCAGGGAGAATCATTCACCAACAGTAACTCCAGCCTTATATGGAGATAACAGTAATCAAATTGAGCATAAATGACCAAAATTAGGAATAATCCCTCTTTTAAAAAATAGCACAATAAATACATTTTGTAAAAAAAAAAAAAAACCACCATTCTATCTGATATTATGCAGGAGCAGCAATGAATCTAGATGCACCTTTAAATTGCTGAAGGAATCATTTCAGATAGATTACAGCTTTACCCAGGCCTCATTGTATATCAATTTCCACATTATTTTCAAGTTCTCAACCATAACATCTAGAGTAATCAGTTCCACATGGGCAGAAGCATTCACACTGGTATCACATTGTATCTTATATGGCCATAAGTACACAATTATTTCAGTACAAAAATCAGAAATATCAGGAAAAGGTTGATGACTATAATTAATTAATAGCACCATTTTTCATTTACAGAGGATATTCCAATTTAATAAGTTCCTGAAATAGTATTCATTCTTAC